GGGGGGGTATGCGCTGTTGGAAGACGGGACGGCCCTGCTAGGGGTCTTCTTGTGCTGCTGGGATGACGAGCGGCCCCCTGCTAGGGGGGGGCATGCGCTGCGGGGAGGATGCCCCCAGGCGCCACGAGATACATGAGCCGCCACTTGCGCTGCTGGGAAGACGAGCCGCCCACTGCCAAGGGCGCCATGCAATGCGGGGAAAGGCGAGCCGCCCCCTGCTAGGGGGGGGGCGCATGCCCTGCTGGACAGACGAGCCACCTGCTGCTAGGGGGCTGAGTGCTGAGGAAATGGCGGGTCGCCCGCTGCAGCACTGCTAGAGAGTCGTGCGCTGCAAGGAAGACGATTTGCCCGCTGCTAGGCGCCCTGTGCTGCGGCAATGCCGCCCACTGCAAGTCATGCGGGGCGGTAAAGACGGGTACTCGTACTTGAAGGGCTCGTACCGCAGGAGGAGGTACGGAGGAGGAGGTACACGGGGTTGACGCACAGGCGCAGTTTCTTGCCCTCCACCATTAAGAGAGGCAGGATGAGCGTTGGTGGCGTGGGCGCTGTTCACTCAGTGATAATCCCTGACTGCGCGCACTTGGCTAGCTCCGGTGTATCGAAATCTGCGTCCTGCTGGGCGCTGGCATGGTTAGGGAAATGCACGGGCCGTGGGCGGTCCGCCGCCAGGTAGTCGGCGGGGTTGCAGGTTGGGAGGGCTTGCTGTAGCATTTGCGTGACAATCCCCAACCATGTGTAGGATGGCGCGTTGGGTGCTCGATAGGCTGTTGTTTGATGCGAGTTCTAGGTAGAGGCGCCAGATGTCGCTGTGCTGTTGCAGGCGGCCCGGCAGGAAGTAGTCGGTGTCGGGCAGGAGGGCTGTAAGCTGTGTTTCGAACACCGGGTCGGGGGTGAAGTCGAGGCCAGCTGGTGAATGGAGGAGGTCTAGCTGCTGGAGGGCGTCTGTCACCGTCGCCATTCAATGCGCTATTTGTGCGTATGACAGGGGCTGGAGCGGAGTTGGTGGCACGAGGCTGGTCAGAGGTGGGGTTGCTTTGTTACCAACAGGGGTGGCCAGCGCCGGGCTCAGCAATGGGTCCGTGCCCAAGTCCCAGGCTTCACTGGGGTCACCGCATGCCTTCCATGCTACGTCCTGTTCCAGATCCGAGGGCAAAAGACAGCCTGGACCGACACGCTGTCCTACATCGCACTCGAGCGGCTGCCTAGTCCCGTATGTCTGCGCATGCATAGAGCCACACAGCGCAACAAGTGAGTATCTCCGCCATTGCATAGCCCCTCAGGGCCAAGGTATCCAAGTAGTCCCGTAACATCCTTCACTCCTACGCCTAGTTGAGCCTGTCATCGCCCGAAAAAGCTACCCCAAGGACCTAGCCCTCTGCATTCGTTGCGCTAACCCTCCCATGGCGCCAGAGCTCATGGTCAGGGCTGCGACATGCCTGGAATCCTGCTGATGCCGCTCCAGCTCCCGGAGGCGGCCCCGCCGGGAAGCGTCCGCTCGCGGGCTGGCCTCCTGCCTGCGGCGGTGGCTGCGCCGGCCACGCCGCCGGTGGCGGGGGTCCTGGCTTAGTGCCGCCGCCAGCTGGCCCTGGTGGATGTGCGTTTAGTTGCACGCGCGGCGCACACCCCTGCCTTGCCAGGCAGATATTGCGGACCGTCAGCTCCTGCCTGAGCTGCTGATCCGACATGCGCCCCAGGCGGGATGCTGCTGCTGCTGCGCGGATGGGCTCCATCGGGTCCTCACGGCCCTGCCGCCATGCCTGGTGGGCGCCGCCGTACTGGTGCTGCTGCGGTGGGGGCGCCTGGTACTGGTATTGCGGCTGCGCCGGCGGCTGGGGGGGCTGCGAGGTGCCTCCGTGGTTGGGGCCCCGGGCATGCGGCGCCCTGCTCATGGCCTCGACCAGCTGCTGCATCACAGGCTCCTTGAAGAGTTGCGGGCAGCCTCCATGCCCGCCAGGGCGCGGCGGAAGTGGATGGCAGCTGGCCACATGTGGTCGCGGATCTCCCCCATCTTGTTGTCTCCCCGGGAATGAGCCTCGGCTCGCTGGACTAGCATGCGCAGCCGGCGGGCCGCGGACGGGTTGGTGCCATTGATGAGGGGCGCCCAATCCTTCATGGCCCGGAGGTGCATCTTGACCGGGCGCATGGTTGTTGGCCGCAGTGGAGTCCGCAAAGCGCCTGATAGCCTTGGTCACCATGACGCTGGCGTGCTCTGCTGGGACGCTGTCGGCGATGTGTTTTTGCTGCAGCTCTTGAACGAGAGCGCTGAACTCTTCTTGCAGGATTGCTTGCGCGGTGCGGGGAAGTGTCTGCAGGAGGCGGGAGGCAGGCTTCTCCTGGTAGAACGGGATGCCCAGTTCAGCGGGATATGCTGGTCGCGGGTGGGACGCTGGGCGGCGTGCTGGCGCGGAGCAGGGCGGGGTGCTGAATGCTTAGGCGGGTCGCCGCTTGCCGGGGATGGAGGTACCGTCCGTGTGCGTTGGATGCTCTGCAGCGCCTGCCAGAGGAAGGCCTGCAGGTCGTTCTTTGCCAGGGAAGGAGCTGGGTCCTCGCGGGGGTTGCTGGGTCTCTCGCTGGCGACGGCTGTCGCAGAAGCGCAGGGTGCAGGCGGGGCGGCGGCCATGTGGACTCCTGCGGGTGGGGGTGCGGCTGGCTCGGCCGGCAGGGCTGCGTTCGCTGGGAGGGGGTCAGCACCCGCGGGGGCCGCTGCGGCCGATCCGTCGCCCGGAAATAGGTTGCGGGGATGTTCGTCGCGCTCCAGTATTGCCGCTAGAGCCGGCGGGGTAGAGCCGCGCGGAGGTGCCGTCCTCCCCCGGTGCGCAGGTTGTAATGCTGGGCGGATGCAGGCCGTACGGAGCCAGGCGGCGGCTCCCGAACGTCTTGCTCAAGGTTCGCAGCAGGGAATCTTGCCGGGGAGGGCTGCAGCCTTGCTTCTTGCTCCTGCGGTACCAAGCAATGGTGCGAGCGGGGTCTCAGTTGGTGAGTAGCTTAGCGTGCATCCCGGCCTAATGGTGCCGCGCCGGCTACGGAAACTCTAGCCAGGTTAGCGCTACTAGCTGCTGTCGCATGGCAATGACTGGCTATCACCACGCTGGGCATTGCTGCTGCACCCGCATGGGCTAGCGTCCATGGCCGCGCTGGGCATTACTGCTGCACCCGCATGGGCTAGCGCCCATGGCCGCGCTGGGCATTGCTGCTGCACCCGCATGGGCTAGCGTCTATGGCCGCGCTGGGCATTGCTGCTGCACCCGCATGGGCTAGCGTCTATGGCCGCGCTGGGCATTGCTGCTGCACCCGCATGGGCTAGCGTCTATGGCCGCGCTGGCTTACCTAATGCCCCCGCTGGGAGACTGCTTGGGTGGCGCATTGCCGCTAACTAAACCCCCCAGCTTCCGTATGGAAGAGGGCCCCTCTGCCGGGTCCTACCCTGGGCTGCTCTGAAGGCGAGCCAACGATATCCCGAAACCCCCCTGCTTCCGTATGGAAGAGGGCCCCTCTGCCGGGTCCTACCCTGGGCTGCTCTGAAGGCGAGCCAACGATATCCCGAAACCCCCCTGCTTCCGTATGGAAGAGGGCCCCTCTGCCGGGTCCTAACCTAGATCGCCTCTGGCGGCTAGTAAGTGCATACTACAGGGGACACAAGCCGGGCGCGCACCCGCTCCCCTCACCTGCTGCTGGTCGTTATCGGCGTGGAGCTGCGCATCGGCGGCCGCTCGGAGGACGTCTTGCCGTTGGGCCTGCTGCTGGTCGTTATCGGCGTGGAGCTGCGCATCGGCGGCCGCTCGGAGGGCGTCTTGCCGTTGGGCCTGATAGGTGCACGGGAAACCGGGGTCGTTAATAGGGTAAGGGAAACAGAGCGCGGGGCAGGGCGTCGGCTGGCCCGGTCCTGAGTGCTCGAGGTCAGTCAATGGGAATTCAAGCCAGGAATGTTGGCTAGGTTCCTAACTACAGACGGTGGTCTTGCAGAGCAGTCTGTTAGCAACGAGATGATAGATATAAGACTGCTATGGGCCGGTCTGCTCGCGGGAAGCTACGGGTTGCCCGGTGGTGCGAATGTTGACCCGCCGGTAGGCTCCTACGGTTCTCTTCGCGAGCCTAGTGGCACTTCCTGGACCCTAGTTGCCCAATATGACCTCCCAAGTTCAGCTCTGGTAACCTAGCAGGCGTCTCGCGAGGGAGCCATATCATTGCGTCTTGAATCTTGACGGGCGTAGGCGGTCGGACTTGGTCTTGACTCGGTCTTGTCCTCGGGTCCCGTTGAGTTCTCCAGGTGATAAGTAGAAGCCTTATATACTAGATTGCGGTGTTGACTGCTAAAAATCTTTGGCTGGCGCAGTGAGCGACAACGTAGTGGGATGCGAAATGGTGCCTGTGTTGTCACTTAAGCATAGCGGACAGTAGCGCACTGCGAGCGTTGCGTTACAAGTCGTAGAGTAACATACTAACATTCATTCAGGCGTGTACGACTGTTTGGATCCTTGCGGTTGGACGAGCAGTCGATTAATTCTCAACAAATTGGGGCAATTCTGTAGTAGTACATTGCGTAATTGTGCGCGGCTGCTTGTCACAGGCAGTGTAACCTCGGAATGTTGATGTACGAGTATTGTTTTCTGTAACAAGTTGCATTTTCTTGGGACGAGCGTCACAAGTGATGATGCCCATGAACTTGAGAGGCCGACCACATTCGTGAAGGTGGTTGTGTTGATGGCTCTCTGTTTCTGCGAAATATCAGGAGTTGCGTGGGTGCTATTTTGCAAAAGTTGTGTTGGTCCCTGTCGTACGTGTCGTTCTTTTGCCAGACCCTAAGAGTTTCAGGCTTTCAGGAGCTTCGGTCCCCCTTGTAACTTTCGCATTCTAAGAGTTGTAATCCTTCTTATTGTGACCTGTATTCTGTTGTTGAAAGAGCGGCAGCTTGCGCTTGTCGCGCGGCCCTCACAACACGCATCTCCCTGCACCCATTTTTGGGTTGCGTTAATTAAATACAGCGCTGGGCATTACTTGCCCAGTGGCTGCGCTGACCACGATCCTGACCAAATATCTGACCAGTGAGATCGCGAATACTATGGGTGCCCGTACTCGGGCACGCCAACGTCTTGGTGAGGCCCGTAAAATGTGCTCATAGAATATGGCTGTCGATACGATTCATCGGCGGCCTTGCCCTCATGACGAGGTACACCGGCAGCCGTACACGTTGCCTGATTGGCTCGGACGAGCGCACGTGGCATGGATCGCCAAACAACCTTGCTTCCTGGCCTTGTCGGCACATCCCACGAGGCAAGCACACATCCTTCTTATATATCTTCATATCCATGCACTTGTATCCCCCGTTCATGGCAACCCACTACTGCTGAAGCCAGGGGCAGGGAGAGGTATGCCGCCATAGGTGTAATAACGAGCATTCAGCCCTCGGTCGTGCATCCGCTAGTCATCGGATGCACCAACGGCAGCTGCTGTGACGTACACGCACATCAACCGCCACTCAACCCTCCTCCTCCGCAGCACCGGCGGCCCCTTGCGCCGGCGACATACCCCCGCACCCACCATCCATCTGTCCTCATCCTGCTGTTGCCAAGCCTTGCAATCCGACAAGTATTATTGCGCCTTCGTACATTCAGCTGGACCAACTCGGCTGGGCTAGCCTGCATCTGCAGAGGCGCACTCCCTCCGGGTTACCACCAACTAATCTCAACACCACTAGCAATTATTCTCCCTTGCCCTCTTCTCCCTTGCCCTCTTCTCCCTTGCCCTTCTCCTCCCCTTCCGCCGCCTCCTCCTCCGCAGCGCTCGTGGCCCGCCACACCGCCGCCAGCAGCGAGCCCATCAAGCTGTGCGTGCAGGAGCTGACGGCGCAGGGGGCGGCGGTGAGGGGGTCTGCGAAGTGCAGGGCGGCCAGTACGGCACCCAGAGTGCTGTTCTGCATGCCCACCTGCGCGTGCCGTACGGCATAGGGCAGGGTTACATGGTTGTGAGTACAGAAATCGGTTAATAGGTGGTTGGTAGGTGGTAGGTGGTAGGTGGTGGGCGGTATGTGCTTGCTATTTGGAAATCCGGGTGCAGTTCACTGGCATTGGGCCGGTTACTAGGGAGTTATGGACGCACGCATGGGCCCACTGTTGAAGGGCAGGTGATGCACCAGGTGATGGGGCGTGTGCTTCATGGGCGCAGTGGCATCCGTGTGCTCGTACCTCTATGGACATTGTACGACAGATCTTGTCAGGGAGGCCGAGCATTTTGGATATGACGTACCTGGGGCAGGGGGGCAGAGGAGGGGTGGAGGGGGAACTCGAGGAGCCAAGCTGAATGGGTACCGCATTAGTGGACGGAATATGCAACTCAATAACAGCCCCTCCTGTCCTCTATTTCGCTTTCTATCCCCATACCAACAGAAGCGCTGTCCGGTTGCTCCATACCCGCACCCGCCGTCCCTTCATAAGAAGCCTTTAAGCACCTTAAAGCACACCTATTCCCCACACGTTTCGCCTCGCGGCCAGTTATTTTAACACACACCGGTACACACAACAACCCTCTTACCGCACATCCCTCACCCTTCCCTTTCTCCCACTATTTTCACCCCCGCCCCCCCCCACTCACCCCAGCAGGAACCCCGCCGCATGCAGTCCCCCCACCGCCGCCAGCAGCGCCCCGCCGCACCCCCGCACCGCCCCCGCCGAGGCCGCCAGCGTGGAACCCACAATGGCCGCCACCAGCAGCGTGGCGGCGGCGGGGATGAAGCGGCACAGGCGGGCCACTGCGGCGGGGTAGCGCTGGTTGGCCAGGCAGCCCAGCAGCACGGGCAGCAGCACCACCTGGGGGGGTGGGTGGGGTCAAAGATGTACAAGAGCCACAGGTTAGGGCAAAAAACAATTGGGATATAGCAGCACCACCTGGGGGGGTGGGAGAGGGGGATAGATGGACAGTGAAGCAACATGGGGGAGGGGGACGGGAGAGTACCGGTAGGTATGCGGAGGGGCTAACAGCGGGATGGCAAAGGGGAGGGTGAACATGCTGAACAGCCCAGATACCGTACGACAGGGTTGTGGCGGGACCGTACGACAGGGTTGTGGCGGGACCGTACGACAGGGTTGTGGCGGGACAAAGGAACAAGGCCATACAAGGGATAAAGGAAGATGCCTAGTGGTTCGCGCTTGGTTGGGCTGGCGGCCAGGCTAGTGGTCACGCACGCACTTCCCCGGCTGCATCCCCTCTTGCCCCGACACCGCCAGTGCGGCCTTGTGTACCGGACTGCACGGGAGTTGTTGTGCATGGACGACACGCACCAACCCCTCCTGCCCCCCCCCGCCCACCTGCAGTGTGGACAGCAGCAGCCCCCGCGCATCCACCGGCACCAGGGTGCCCGCCAGTGCTGCGGTGATGGCGGGGGTGGCCACCACGGCTGCCAGGGTGGAGGAGGCGGTCATGAGGATGGACAGCTGAGAGGGAGGCGGGGGTGGGGGGCGGGGGGGGGAGGGCGGGGGGGGAGGAGAAGGATGGAGAGGAGGATGAATGGGTGCTGGGGAGGATAGCCGACTAACCTGCCGGTATTGCCGGGAGAGGATAGGTTAGTTGCGAACACTGGGAGCAAGTCAGCGGTTGGGCACTGGTTGCCTTGGCAGGAAGGTAAGCTACGGTACATGGACAAGGCTTGATCGTACGCCAAGCTTTGCCCCTCCTCCCGTTCCTAGCCGTTCCGCATGCCAGCGCGCTCAAAGCTAAGAGGCCCTCCAATACTCACGCGGGTTGCCCCTAACGTTCACAGCAGGCTAGGCCGTTCACCCTTCCTCCCCCACAACCCCCCCCCCACCACCGCCACTCACCGCCATCTCGCCGCGAGCCAGGAACGCCACGATGTTGGAGGCGGTGCCCCCGGGGCAGGCGGACAGCACTGCAATGCCCACTGCCAGGGGTGCGGACAGGCCAGCGTGCCTGCGGGCAGCGCCGGTGTACAGGTAGGAGTGCATGCAGCGCCGGTGTACAGGAGTGCACATGCGGGCAAGGCAGGCAAGGTAGGCAGAGGTACCGCAGCCCGCTTCTTTGCACGGGGCCTATCTTGGCCGCTTTAGAAGGTTGGGTAAAGGTTGCAACCCTGTATCATTGCTCTTAGGCGCGTTGGGCAGGGAGCAAGTGCGGTCGCCCAGTTGCCCGGGTGCCTGCGCAGTTCCAGGTCCGGCCTGCTCCTGCCTCCCACCCTGCCTGCGCCACCATCCAGGGGGCAGCCAGCCTTCCCTTTCCTCCCTCCCGTCCTCCCGCCCCTTCCGGCCCCCCATTGGGGCTTCGTTGATGCACTTCTCTATAATTCCCCCACCCCTCTCACAAAGCGCCCCCCCACACCACATGTTGGAATTTCTCCCCCCCCCCCACCTGGATATCAGCCAGCCCAGCCCCGGCATGACGCTGTACTGCAGCACCATGCCCAGCAGCAGCAGACCCGGCATGGCGCGGAACACGGCGCCGAAGTCAGACAGCCGCATGGTGAGCCCCATGCCCAGCATGGTCAGCGCCAGACCCCAGGTCATGAAGCCGGTGGGCAGCCTGGGTGGCAGGCGGGCAGGCAGGCAGGCAGGTAGGTAGTAAGTGGTTAGTGGTTGAGCGTTGGAGCGGTGTGCGCGTGTGTTGGGCAAAAATGGCCGCATGGGTGTGCATGGATGTGTCCAGATGGTAGGGGTGTAAGAGGAAAGGCGGCAGGAGCTGACTGCATGGTGTGCATGAGTGCTGATCAGGTGGGCGCTGGGATGCTGAGGACCGCCCGCTGCAAGGCCGGTCGGCGTGGGGGCTGACCCGCCACATGGGGACCACAGGCGCAGGGACAACACGATAGGGACCTGCCATCCCTGGCTTTGACTGACTACCACTGCTGATGACAAGTGGGGCAGAAGGGTCTGCCATGGCAACGATTGACCCATGGGCCCGTAACCCCGTATGTGGCACACGTGCGGATGTGCGGCTGTGTCCACCCACCATGTGAAGAGCGTTGGGCGCCACAGGGCCGCGCCCGCCGCCAGCACCACCCACAAAGGGAACAGCGAGGTGATGCGGGCACACACGGCCGCCAGCCGGTCCTCCAGGGAAGGGGAAGCGTGCGCCTCTGCAGCTGCGGCTGCCGCCGCAGTGCCTGCCGCCACTGAGGCGGGTTCTAAGGCGCCTGCAGTGCGGGTCGCTGAGGAAGCAGCGGGAGCGGCGACAGCAGAGGCGTCGGATTGTGCCGGGGTAGGTTGCGTGGACGGGGTTTGGGGCGGCTGCTGCAGGGCAGCAGTGACGGCCCCGGCGCTGCTGCTGCTGTCGCTGCTAGGAGTGGCGGGTGGTGGTGCGGTCGTGTCCGCGGGGGGTGGCAGTTGCGCTTCAGCACTGGCATCTGGGACCGGCGCGGGTGCCGACATGGCGGATTTGGGTGGGAGAGCTGCCAGGGCGGGTAGTGGAGGAGGTTTGGAGCGGCAAGGGGCGCAGCGGATGGCTCTTGATTGCAGTACTGGCAGCTGGGGAGCGGTGCAAGCAGTCGCAGTTCGCTTCATCGTTGCGCCAGGCACGCCGGTAGTTGGCGCCACCGCCGCTGATGGTATAGTCGTAATGCATGGGCGCATGTGGAAAGATGACGTTTTATGTGCAGTGTCGTTGCGCGCATGGCATACCGCCTGTCGCGGCGAGTGATGATGAAAGCGCGACAAGTATAATGTCGCCTCCATGGGTGGTCCAGTGCTACCAAATTATGTAGTGTACTGTCTAACGTTGTGTACTAGTGCCAAGTGCTTGTTAGTTCTGTATCCCTTGGCCCTTGCTTCATCAGTAACATGTCGTACATTTCTTGTGCAAGCGGCAAGCCGCAACATCTAAGCTGCATTCGTAAATTCCTCAGGGAAGGACAGTCCCTTTCAGAGTCGCTTTCTATCCTGCAGTAAGGCACTGAAGTGTCTTCGCTTGTTATGGGGCGTACCCCTATTGCATCATTGGTTAGAGTTTCTGGGAAGCCATAATAAGGACAAAGTCGTCTATATCGCCCAACCCTGGTGGGACAAACGGCGTGTCTTCCACCCGCAACAACTAGCTCGAGTCCGTGAGGCATGCATTTAATAGCTTCTCGGTGAAGCTAGCTGCCAAGGACACGACGACACGATCTTGGCATGCACGGTTGGGCAGCATCGGCATTCATGTTTGCTAGGGAATTTTTACTGTTATCGTGGGACCACGGGTACGACTGGCTGCTTTCAACCTCTAAGGTGTGTGTACTCTACGCAGCTCTACGTCGCGTTTTGGATCAATGTAAAGTTAGGCATGGAAGCGGCTGTATTGTGCATGCGTGTACCGTGAATCCCGCCCTGGGTTTGTGGTTCCCCTGCCCCGATCGGTTCATGTCCGAGTGCTTGCGTCAACAATCCTTCCTAGTGCCTCCGTAGGAAGGTTGACAAGGCGCCAGGGCAACCCTCAGCATGATCCTAGCAACATGCTCTACATCGATACTCACCTGTACTTAATGAGTACAGCGATACCATTGTTTGTAGTGTGGTTTTGGGTGTTTTCCATCGTTAAGAAACCGCTGGGAAGGGCAATGCATTTGTGCAGGAGCGCGTTTATGTGCGTAATAAGAATCGTAGCCAACTACGTTTTTATGGCGTAACAAGTGTCAGGTTGAAGGAGGCAAGTAACAAATATTGCAACGATGGTCCGCGGCCCGCCGAGGCAGGGAATGTGAAGCTGCTTACCAACTGCTGAAACCAATGGAGCCAAGCCTTCGTACGTCGCCTTCGTCGAGGCCGCCATGACTGCGTCGTCCCTGACTGCCACATGGCAGAACTGACATTACAAAGAGTTATATATCATTGACAATTTCATCCCGGCCTGCTATCCAACCTCATTCCTAGACAGTGAACCCGGTCCCTACGACACTGGGCGCAGGTTTGCCTTCCCACCGACTTTGCACCCTGCGCCTCGGTTCGAGTATATGCTATAGTATCCACACTTCTTTCCAGCGCTAATAGCAACCAGTATGGAGGCTGACAGCGCGGTCGGTTCGTCTGCTGCTGTTCCCCAGTCGGAGCCGCTCGACGAGACGCAGGTCCGCAACAATGCTGGTGGCTTTGTTTTCAAGATCGATGATATTGCTCAACTGCGTCGCCTCGTCATCCTTGGCAGCGACGGTAAGTTGTCAAGTCGAATGCTAATCTGCTGCTGGACGGTTGTCCAGGCCTCACAGCAGCGCTGAATCGCGCGCATCCCTAATGGTCTTTCCGTATTGTGTAAATCATTCCTGGAAAGATAAGCAGTCCACAAGCCATAATGCTGAAACTGATTTTGCTCGCGGAACATGCTTCGGTAGAACTACGCAAGTACGAGGTCCGGCCTTTAGATGAGCGACCCGTTGCCCAATCCCTTTTCTCCCGCAGCAAACAACTACTACGTATCGCGTTCGGAGGTTGACCTCAAATCCGCAGAGTGTGTAATGCGGTTGCTGGCTTCGGGCGAAGGAGCGCGAGTCGTGGCTGAGGTGACGCGCATTTCCCAAGAGGGACGAGCAGCCAAGCAATCCCCAGGTGGGAGTTCTTTCGTTAGCCCTTACAAAGTCCACTTAAGGTCCAATTTCACGCACACAACTATGGAGTAGGGAACGGCCTTGACCGTTGTTTGGGCGCGTATCCGCTGACGTTAGAGGACCGACCATCAAGGAGTCGTCCGTACTGGTCAGTTGGATACTTCAGCAAGACGTCCGCACCGCTGCTAGGCACCGCCCTTCCTTATATTCAATCCATGTGGATCTTACCTAGCGTCGACCCCCCCCCCCCCGCATGTAGGCATCCTCGTCCTCGCCATGTGCGCCCGCCTAGGCGACGCCGCCACTCGTGCCGCCGCGCTGGCGGCGCTCCCCGCCGTCTGCCGTACGGCATCCACCCTGTTCGAATGGATCCAGCGCTGCAAGGAACTCGGAGCCGCTGCTCGCGTCGCCCGCAAGCCCGACGACACCGCCGCCGCCGCTGCGGATCCCGCCGCCGTCATGGCCTGGGCCACCGAAGCCGAGGCTCGGGCGTCAGAGATACGGACGAAGAAAGCGGCGGCGGCCGCCGCAGCGGCCCGTCACTTGGCCAAGCAAGGCCGCCGTATCCGCATGGTCCGTCCGCCGGCGGTTACTGCGCTGTCCCTGGGCGCGGAGGAGGGCAAGCCGGGCTGGGGTCGCGCCATGCGACGTGCCGTGGCGATGTGGTATCTTGAGAAGTCCCCGGCGGCGGTTGCCTACCAGGTCACGAAGTACAGTCAGCGTTACGGTTGGAGCCATGCGGACCTGCTGCGGCTTGCGCACCCGGACCCTGAGGCGCATGCCGCCAGGCGGCGGAAGCTAGCAGCGGCGGCGGCGGAGGCGAAGGCTGCTGAAGCGGCGGCGGCGGTGGTGGAGCAGTTGGGGTTGGAAGCAGGGACGGCGGCGGAAGGGAAGGAGGGGAAGGAGAAGGAGGGGGAGGAGGATTGGGTGATGGTGCGGGGCTCGACTGGTGCGGCGAGTCTTGGAGAGGAGAGCGATGATGTGCAGATGTTGGGAGGGCTGGCGGAGGCGGTGGCGGAGGCGGAGGCGAAGGTGGCGGAGGCAGCGAAGGCGGCGGCGGCGGCAGGCGGCGACGCCGCCTCTGCTGCAAGAGCTGCAGCAGAGGCGCAGCGCGTGGCGGACATGAAAGCCATTTTTGACTTCCTGACCCATGGGACACTGCCGGATCAGCCGCGGCCGGCACGTCGTGGCAAGTCGAAGACGGCGGCGGACGAGCAGCCAAAGCCGACTGCCGCCGACGCCACCGCACCGGGTGAGACTGCTGTGCCTATGGAGAGTGAGGCTCCTGCAGAGGAGGGTGTCGCCGCTGCTGCTGCCGCTGCTCCTGTCGAGACCTCTGCCGACGACGGAGCTGAGCAAGGACAAACGGCGGAGGCAACGGAGCCTTCTTTGGATACCGGTTCAACCGCCGGGGAAACCGCTCCCGCAGCCGCCGCAGCCGTCGCCCCTGACACTGCTGGCATCGCCGCCGCCGCTAGCACAGCTGCTGCTCCAGAAGACGCCGCCGCCGCTGATGCTGGAACTACCGACGTCGTCATGCACGACGCAGCTGCCGCTGATGCCCCTGCCGCTGATGCCCCTGCCGCTGATGCCCCTGCCGCTGATGCCTCTGCCGCCGGCGCCACCAGCCCCTCGGACGAACCCGGCGCCGCTGCCGCCGCCACCGCTACCAGCCCTACGGAACCCAGCGCTGCAGCCGCCGCCGCCGCCACCCCAACGCTCACGCTGAGCCCCGTCATGCAGTACCTGGCGGCTGCACACCGCCTGCGCAAGGAGATCTGCTTGCCGCGGACGCCGGCAGTTAAGCGCACGAGACCACCCGCTGAGGACACCGCGCCTGCGGCTGCGGCTGCGGCTGCGGCTGCGGCTGAGAACCCTTCGGGATCTGGTTCAGATTCCGACTCTGGCTCTGGTTCCAAACCTGGATCCAAGTCCGGCAAGGAGCAGCAATCCGACAAGGGGGAGAATACCGACGCAGAGGAGGAGGAGGAGGAGGAGGAGGAGTTCCATACCCCAAGCGATAGCCCCAGCGAGGCGGCACCGGCTCCGGAAGCGCAACCGGAACCGCAACTGGACCCAGTGGCGGAGGCGGCCAAAGCCGCCGCCATCGACGCCGCCGTAACGCTCATCCGCCGCCACCGCTTCGGCCACGAGCACGTCGGCGACACTGGCCTGCTCCGCGTGCCCGACATCTGGGCTGCATTCCTAGACGTCGGCATGCCGGTCACCGCACTCGTCCGCAACCTGGGTCGCATGACTCAGCTGGGCCTGATGGCGCGCGCGGACTGCCGTCAACACGTGGTGGAGCGCCTGACCGACCCACGGGTCGTTTCCGGCGCCCGCCTGCACCCCATGACGCTGCTTGACGCCATGTGCACGTACCGTAACGGCGCTGGCGTGTCGGGTGTGGCGCGCTGGGAGCCAGAACCTGCGGTGCTGGAAGCCCTGGAGGCAGCGTTTTATCTGGCGTTTAAGAACGTGGAACCCACGGGCAAACGCTACCTAGCGGGTTTGGACGTGAGTGGTTCCATGTCCTCACCCTGCAGCGGCATGCAGGCGGTGTCGTGTCGCGAGGCGGCGGCGGCTGTGCTGATGTCGCTGGCTCGATGCGAGCCTTGGCTCAAGACGCTGGCGTTCTCGGATCAGCTGGTACCTCTGGAAATCAAGGTAGGAGGGGCGGTTGGTTGGGCGGTATGGTGCGGTACGGTATTAGTAGTCCGTCGGGATGGGAGATGGCGTAGTTGGTCTGGTAGTGGCTGGGAGACGAGCAGGGCTACCATGCAACGGCCTAGCATTCGCACCGGCTCCTACTACCTGTGCCAACAATCCCAACATAGGTTTTGTGACCTCGTGATCCCGGGCTGTTGGATCTTACCTGGCGATGCCTACCAATGCATGCAAAGCCTTGTCGCTGCTTCTAGCTGTCTGCGATGCCCACAACCCCTCTGGCCTCCAACCCAAAACTCTATGTCGCGCAGTCTGAGGACAAGCTGCAAGATGTGGTCTCCCGCACGGACGAGCTCCCCTTTGGCGGCACCGACTGCGCTCTGCCCATCCTACACGCCCTGGAGCGGCGCATCCCGGTCGACGTGTTCGTTATCCTAACCGACAACGAAACCTGGTACGGTTCCGTACATCCGGCCGAGGCGCTGCTCCGCTACCGAGCCGCCATGGATCTTCCGGACGCCAAGCTCGTGGTGCTGGCGTTTAACGCCGGTCACTTCAGCATTGCGGATCCGAAGGACCCGGGCATGCTGGATGTCGCCGGCTTGGATAGCGCGGTACCGCGGCTTGTGGCGGATTTCGTAGCGGGCCGGTTGTTGGCGTGATTGGTGCGGGAGGTGTGTTAAGGGGGAACGGGCATGCCGGGGGTCTCCTGTGCAGTAGACGGGTGCGGGGGAAGGGAAGTGACCCATGGGTCATCACGTCAGTCGGACTTCAGAAACGTTGCGGAGGAAGAGTCCTTGGAGGCGAATAAGGGAGGACGCAGGTAACCTTGCCTGCGAGATTAGGGAGGAAAAGGAGGAGGAGCGACGGCCCGGAGTTGGGATTGTATGGGACCAGGCGAAAGAGGGACAACGCGTGCACGAGGGTAGATGAGGTGTTGGGGAGTAAATGGGGACTCAACTCCCAACTAACAGGAGGGAGAGAGCTCAGAGGCGCTATGGAGGTGGATGATATGGTGGTGAGGGTAGATACTGGTGAGAAGTGTAGACAGGAGGGTGGTGCAAACTAATATAGCTATATAGGACGTAGGAGTGTTCCGTCTTTGGTCTGGGGACCTGGCTGACGGTGCTGGGAGATGGGAACGAGGCTTTTGGGTTGGAGGGTGAAGAGCATGCTGCTTCAAGGCATGGCGCGTAACATGATGGTTTTCCGAAATGGGATTTGCGTTTTATTCGTAACGTCGCTGTACTTCTGTTTTACCGGTTTCCAGGAGGCCCGAAACCGTTCTGTGGCAAGCTAAGGCTGGATAAGCCCCAACTTGTTACTTTTCGACTTGTTTTCTCGTAGCCGAACTATATGCGAAGTTTGTTGATAATTGGCACGCCCTGGCCCTGCGCCCTGAACTTCATTGCGACCGTTACAACCGTTGTGCTGCGGGTGCGCAGGAGATGACGACTTTTACCAGGGGCCACTAATCAACCCTAAAAATACCAGCATTGCATTGTACTGTACGCATGGACGTACAAAGTTACGTGGATAGCTGTCTGGTGCCTTCCAAGAGGCAAGTCTTGGTACACCCGGTGCGGTATTTTGTTTGAGGGATGCAGCCTGAAGTAGCGAGTGGCTCTCTTCCTGTGTTTTGGTATTACTCACCAGCGCTGTGGGGCCCGTTATCCAATGCGGCTCCTGGATCGGCACAGGGGAGTGTTACAGGAGGTATGGTATGTATCGTACGGTAGTCTCATGTCGTGATTTCCGTACGGAATTCCGGCCCAAGGGAAGCGGATGCCGGCGCGCTGTGTCCCATTAACCCTCTCGTATCATGCACGTTATGCGGGTCAACCCCGTTCATGGTCTCATTCAAGCATGGATTAATAAGGATGGCAATCCCCTCCGTACTCGAGTCCTCCAGCATAGCCCCAAACCAGCCCTGCCCGGCCCCCTTCATCCACCTCATAACGTTGGCTTGTAGACATGCATAACAACAGCACGTACAGGTGCACGCCACAGCAGCCAAAGTCACAACCTGCCAGCGAAAGCGAGTATAGTCTCCGCCCATAGCGTCATAACAGATCTGACAGAACGCGCAGTCCTAATCACGACACTGATCGCACTGATCGTCCTAACATGCTTACACAAGTCAAAAGTACACTTAACCCAAACGGCCCGAGTTCCTATTCGGCACCATCAATCACAGCCCCTAGTAACCGGTAACACGACTGGTAGCACACAAAGCTTGATGCTGTCACACGCTCAGGAGCCCCCATACCGGTACTTTTCGTGTGCATGCCCCTACACAGTGCCGTACCACGGCACCGCCCTTCCCTTGCAAGTCTGTTCGGGGTACGTACGTTCGGGGAACGTACAGCACGCCTACCCTCCAAAACGTACATCGTCCATTCAGCCCAGGAAGATTCAGCCCACGTTACTGGTTCACGAATGCAACCCCACGGTACAGCCCATGCAATGTCTCCTTGCCAACTTGCCAAGGCCTCGCATGTGGTCATCATCACCAAGGTCAACGCCACAGCCGGAGCCCAGGAACCCGCATGACGCATGAGGCGTGGGCCCGCCAGAAACCTTCTGCGTGCCTCCCTCTCTCCGCCTCCCCCTGCCTTTGCTCAGAACCCCGGCCATGCAGGCGGCGGCATCAGGCCGCCAAAGCCCCTGTCGTGCTGCTTCTGCTGGTGTTGCAGTGGTTGCTGCTGCAGTTGGTTGATGCGCGCGAAGATGGACCGGATCTCCTCCAGGATCTCCGCAGCGGTCAGACCGTTTACTGTACGGGGTTACGGCAAAGCCACGGGTTGTTTACTGACTTGAGCTGCTTGTGACAACCGTGCCCCTTGCGGCTAGTAGAACTACCGTAGTAAGTTCATTCCGGACGACTGCTAAGAGCAGACGAATCAGGAGCCTTTCATGCGTTTGGTGGTCATGCGTATGGCATGCATGCTGAGCAACCCCAACATAACGCACATGCAACCCAGACAACAAACGCGCCCCCTTACCTCTGCGCCAGGGCACCAGTCGCACCGCTCCGAGCTCCTGCGGTCACCAGCCAAAGACCACATTACAGGTCATGCTCACCAAAGCAGTAACCAGAAACTCAGCGCACCATGTAAGCTATGTACACATGGATGACTGCGGTGGAAGCCGCTTGCAACCATCGCCGCATGCTGACGTGCCGCCATGACGCCCGGTGCGCTCACCCCGCTGCACCTCTCACCCATGCTCTCCTTAAGTGCCCCCTCAGCCACCCGCCTAACAATTACCACCACCACCACGACCGCCGTACCTCCATCTCCCGCATGGCTCTCCGTACACGCGGCTCGCAGACCTCCACGGACTTCAGCATCTCCCGTCGCGATCGGGCCAGCTTGGCCAGCCGCTCCGTGGTGTCGGCCTGCCGCTTGGCCTCCAGCCGCTCCCGTAGGGCGGCGTTGGCGGGACGCAGCGCTGCTAGCTCGCGTTGGCGAGTCTGACGGGGGTGTGGCGGAATGCAGAGCGCGGAATGAGAGCCTTAGTTGTGAACGTAGTACGAACTGGAGAAGGTACCGGCACTGTCAGAGTATGCATAGAGCACGCGCAGGGTGGGGAGAGTGATGCGGGCGGTGGCATCGTGCGGTGCAATGGGATGGTGACCATGGCTTTGCCAGCATCCCAGCCGTCCTTACCCTTAGTTGGGCCTCCGCCGCTGCCAACCACCTAGCGGCCTGCTCATGGCTGCGGAAGCGCTCTGCAGCGTGCGAGGCAGCGCAGAGGAACGTTAACAAGCAAGGCAAAGGTGATAAGGATAACGGGGTTAACTGCTAAGGTGATTGCGGCGACGCTCTCATTAGGACAATGCAGAACAAGGCAGGAGACATGGGCAGGTAATCAAGAGAGGCCCAGGACCCGCAGACGGTGTTCATGCGCAAAACCCACCATGCAGCTCCCACAGCAGCGCCGCCGGGCATCGCAGCGGCGACAGTGGGTCCAAAGCCGCCGCTGCTGCAACCCAGTAGCAAAGCGTCGGTAGCCCCAAGGCAGCCGGACCCGGGGCCCACGCCACCGCCGGTGCCGACATGGCTCCCATCCCCGCGCTCCCTGACAATAGCCATGAGCCGCTGCCTCCAGAACCCCCACCAAGCGGGCCAGCAGACCCAGGAGCCCCTGCTCCCAAGGACTGTCCCGGTCCTGACGAAGACCAGGACCCTGCCACTGTGCTCAGGGTGACAGAGCCAGAGGTAACGCTAGAGAGGTGAGGCCAGGCCCCGAGGCCGCAGCTGCTGCTGCTGACGCCGCCGCTGCCCATGCTCATGTTCAGGCCGAGCAGACCGCTGCTACTGCCGTCGCCCAGGCTGCTGCTAACGGCGCCAGCGCCCTGGCTACTGGATGTGCTGGCAGCTGAGCTTCGGAGGAGCAGTGACCCATGGGTCGACGCCACGCCGAGGTAGGCGCTGGCGCCGCTGGCGGCGGAGGCGCGCAGCATGGCGGCTGACCGTTGGGGGCCCACGTACGGCAGCGCGAGCCGCAACCGCTCGACGAGCGGCAACGACGTGGGGGATTGCAGACCTACACAGCATTGAGGAAACCAGGCAGCGATGGGACCATTGCAGGAACACACGCTAGGAATCTAGCTGGCATCTGACATGCCCATTGCCCCACCACCCAAACCACCCGCCAACCCAACACGTACCGTACATAAGGCCACTGCCTCGTGCGCCCAGAGTGCTGCCGCTCCCATCTCCCGTACCGCTTCCTCCTCCGCCCGCCGCCCCGGTGCCCTCCAGCCGCTGCATGCGCCGCTGCTCCGCCAGCACGGGTAGCAGCTCAGCCGGGACGCGCATGAGCTCCGCCACGCAGCGGGAGAGGCGGTCGGTGCTGCGACCAGCTAGCTCGATGAGCTCGCCGTAGGACTTGGGCAACATGCGCTGCACGAATTCCTGTGTGGAGAGGTGATGAGGTGATGGAGGAATGGGAAAGGGGTGAGGCAGACGAGAGACGTGATTGGGTTAAGGCCTTGCGGCCAAGATTGCAGTATGCGTGGGGCGTCGACGCGTGTAGGTGTACGGTGTACGGGCTACGACAGAAGATGGGGTGATGAGGCGAAAGGGTCACGCCCGGCAGCAAGTGCACAACGTCTGCCGTACGCCCGAGTCCTGCCCTGCCGAAAGGCCCTGGGCATGCGGTACCCCTACACCGTACCTGGTTTATGGTGTATTGCTGCTGCCACTCTGTGAGCACCCGGCCCAGAGCGTTCGACAACAAGCTCACAAGGCCCTGCGTAGGGCACGGTAATAGGGAAGGAGGGAAGGAAGTACAATGCTGACGCATGATGACTGGGCGGTGGCAACAGATTGCAGACAGCTCCTTCTTCCTTTCCAAGCAGCATTCCCATGACCCCATGCGGGCCTCCTACGGGCCCCCCGCATCACTGCTCATGTTCTGCCCTCACAAACCACGCACCTCCAGTCGCCGCTCCTCGTGCTCCAGCTCGAATGCCGCCGCCTCCAGCCGCCCCACCTCCTCCACCAGCTCCCCTTGCGCCACCGCACCGCGCCGCAGCCCCTCCAGTGAGGCGCGGGCAGCAGCCAGGGCCACCCGGCGGCCCTCCACCTGCAAGCAGATGGGCGCACATGCAAGGCATAGGGCTAAACACGCATGCATATTAAACACGCAGTTCATCCTTCCAGTCGCCTGAGACTAAAAGCTCTCCAGGGGCGACGTCACGCAATGCGTCGCGTTCCAAGCGTGGCGGAATGGGGTATGGAGTCCTGAACGTAGCTCCCGGAGCTCTACGCACCCACTAGCGTGCTGCCCGCTGTCGCCCCTCCGCAAGTTTTCTTGGCCTGGCCTGCAGCCCATGAGCCTCCTGGCTCGTCTGGGCCTTACGAGCCCTCAGCGTGTAAGTGCCATCGTCACCCACACCCACGCACCTCTACCCTTGCCTGCACCAGCGGCCTGCTGAGCGCCTGCTTGACTGCGGGCTGCATGGCTAGCTCCAGCAGCCAGGCCTTAGCGGCGCGGACCTGCGACTCAAGCCGCCGCAGCTCCAGCGCGCCGTCTACTTGCGCCTGCGGGAGTTCAGCGGAATGGGAGTCCCCAGGGCGCAGCTCAGAAGCTGCTGACGTTCAGACAATAGCACAGGCTGCTCCCGAGTCCACTGTGCCGACGTCACAAGTCCGGAGGCGATTTAGAAAAGAGTGAGACACACCCGGACAAAGCCAACGTGACCCTACATCAAATTATGGCCTTTCTTTGGGGACTTCATCTTCCGCCAATTACAGTACGTCTCCTTAACACACGCCCGGAGTGACCCCATGCAATGCCGGCCCAGCAGAACCCCCACCTGCTGCATCTTGCGGATGTCGTACAGCGGGTCCACCGCCGCTCCGAGCGCCTGGCAGCGCCGCCGCGCGTCCGCCAGCAGGTCCCAACCGCCCAGCAGCACCGACAAGCCGTTGCGCGATATCTTCGCCAGCTGTGCATGCATTGAAGGGCGGAGTGGGCTTGGTGGGTGCGTTGAGTGGTCGAGCGCGTCGGGTGCTGCTAGAGGAACAGTCTTCTCCGCAGCTGAAGGGCTCGACCGCGTCCGTGGCACCAGTACTTGTTACCGGTAGTTATGCGCTAGCAAAGCAAACACCCCGCTGGTTCCAAACCCAAGCCCGTACACTCAACCAATGGAGCCCCTAAGCTACCTTCGCCCCGCCAACCTTCCAGCAATTTTCCCCAGATATCCGCCCCTGATGCCACCCCTCATCGCACCTGGCACACCGCGGCCGCTAGCTGGTGCGGCGGCAGCAGCAGCAGCCCCGCAACCTGCCGCTGCAGCTGGCTGCCGCGGGGGAGGTGCAGATGCGGCTCCAGGTCGGCTTGCGAGTGGGCGCCGGGGCAGCCCAGCGGCTCACAAATGGCGTTGCCAAAGGGGTCGGAGCCCATGTCGCCGCCGTTGGTAAGCATAAGCGCGCTGGGCATGGTTGCGGCTGCAGGCCGGGGTAAGGTTGTGGCAAACGCATGTATCGGTAAGAGGATGCTATCTGGGTTGGTGATGGTGGTGCGAAGTACGTAGCAGAAGGTTCAGGCTGAGTTGACCTTGATGCGGTATATGCTTAGAACGAGTGTGTGAGCGTGTTGTGTTCATGGCGTACGTCATCACGACTTCGTTTTTATGCCCTCCCCCGCACCTGATGCTGCTGCCATGCTGGCTGCGTTGAGCTGCATCCACAGCTCCTGCTGCACCTGCCCACACAGGTGCCCCAGACGCTCCATGGTAGCGGCGTCGGTTGACATGTCTGCCAGAGCAGGGCCCAGGTAGGGGCAGGTGTTAGGAAGCAAGGTGCGTGCTGATGAGCCCCCGCTCGCTTGGCAGAGCTAGCCGGGATACTAGTATAAGGAGTTGCCCTTAGGTGTTAGCAGTAAGGGCTTAATCAAGGGTTGGGGCTGAATATTCTCCCGGATCACAAACGTCCGCCCGCGAATCCACCCACCTGCATCGCCCGACATGCGAGACCGCACTGCCTGGATTTGCTGCCGCTGGTGCTGCGTGAGGCCCTCCAGGGTAGGCCGCAGCCGCCGCCCGCGATCCAGCTGGACCAAGTAGGCGGCCTGAGGGGAACAGCGGGTGTGGGCAGCTCGGCATGATAGCTCACATGCTCCGGAGTTTTCCCAATGCACGTTGTGGGCAACGATGACCTGGAGGTTTACTGAAAGCACGCTTCCCCGAAGGGCATGGAGTGATTGGGCTTGGGAAGATATGTACGCGAGCGCAAGAGTGGATTTAAACCACTGGCACGAACCCTTTCACGCGTGGTCCCCATGTCCTCTCAATTCCTCTTTATGCGTCCACGGCGTCCCCGTCCCATCCCACACGCTCCCATGCGCATGTACTTACCCGCTCCTTTTGCTGCTGGTGCTCCTGCTGTATGCGGGCCAGTTTCGCCTGCTCCTCCAACGAGGTACTCAGCTGCAACTTTATCTGCGACTGCAACCCATGAAAGGTTGGAGGTAGCGGGGCAAGCATTGTGAGTGCGTAATGGTTATGGTGGTGGTCGATAACGTGGCTGCTTGAGCAAAGTGCATATGGGCCGCGCTCTGCGTTGAAGTGGCTTTAGGGTTGGGTAGCGGTAGTTGAGGTTTGTCGAGGGAGGGGCAGGACTGGGTAAGCCACGATGGTATTTCCAGTCCGAGTCGACCGGTGGCCGCGCTGCTACCAACAACATACTCAAGTTAAAGCACCGCACATTACTTACCGCAAGCTGGTCTTGCGCCAGGTCCTGCTCTCGCAACCTCGCCTTTCGAGCTTCAAGGAGGCGTGTTGCTGCTTGAATTCTGTGAAAGCGTGCGATGTCTGCAGGTGTCCTCGCGCCTGTTTCTCGTGCTCTCGCTGCAGCGGCCCGGACTCGCTGCGCATCCTCGGCACCATGGAAGACGGAGACTAGGGTGTTTACAGCCTCTCTATTTTGCGGACGAAGATGACGCGTAACTTGAGCTCTGGTTGCTGCTGCCCCGCCCTCTCCTGGCTGCCGAAAGTCTGTCGCTTTTCCAAGTCGAAGCACCGCCTCAACCAAAGGATCCCTCTGCTGAACCATTCGCTATAACTTATATTTGTCTAAGTTGTTCTCATAGTAAATCATCGCCGTCGTAAGGCTTGTCTATGGGCAAGTTGGCAAGAGGGAATTCCAATTAGCTGGGTAGAGAGTAACATCGGCCAGAAAGCATCCTATACACTTAAGGAGCATATGTTATTGCGGAAATTGCATTAAGGCAAACTCGGTTGGACTTCTGCTTGGTGGCAAGCAGGCAAGGGGCGTCTGTCGTAGGCCGAATCCAACTTGAACTTTGGCATTGGGACTGGACTCATGTCGCTCCCTGCCGCTTCTAATGCAAGCCACACCTGGGTTCAAATGGCTTTTGATTAGGTGTGCAATTTATTCAACAAAATGACCACCCACGTTGTGCATCGACGGCTGACACCTCATAAACAACAGAAGTCCCAAAACTCATGGGCGGAGAGATGTTTGAGCATGCTATTAATAGCCGCTTCCGTAGCCCTTGGATGCGCTGTCGTTAGCGCCTTGTTGCGGACCTTTCAACCGTTCTCGGCTTCTTTGCCGGTGGTGCTGCAACCTAAGGAGTCGCAAAACGCACGTAAGCATGGAATAATGATTACTTAGCAGCCTGCATTCCTGGGCATTAGTACTCCGTTTTCCTTCCATGTGGCCCCTCAGCTACATGGCATGGCAAGTAGGACACCCTTGCCGATCAGGTCGACGTCGTTGCCTTATCAAAAACGATTTTTAAGGATGAGGTGGTTGCATAACAGTTCAGCAGGACATTACTCGTGTACTGTTTTGTGTGGCAACATGCTAGGAAGCAGGAACAGGCGAGGATACTCCCTTTATTTGAAGCCCGGAGGTAGTTACCGTGTCCTGTACGGTATCATCCATGTTGCTGTTCTGGCGTCGCGTCCGACTGCCGGCGTGACCTTTCACCGTCCAACTCCTTTGGAGCCCCTGCCCCCAACTTCACTCACAACCCATGTTCACCCCTCCCCCTTGTTTGCTGGCGTTTAGCTGGACTTAGCACGCAGCTTGTCTTCAAGGAGCCCAGCCCCGAGGAGGTCTCGCGGCTCCGCAAGGCAGCACAAGTTCTGGATCCAGAGCTCATGGAACAGATACCGGAGGCTTTCAACAGCAGCGTAAGGAACCCCTGCTGGACCAGCCCAAGCGGCGAGTTCAAGTGAGTATGCGATCTCCCCCGGGGTCCTGCACACGAGCTTGATGGGGTTTTATGCGGACGGTCCCAGCGAGTTGCAAGATGCCAAACGCGGTGGCTACAGATTCGCAATCCTAGCCACCTGGCCCTGCATGCCGAGCGCAACCCACATGACACGCTTCATATTCCTACCATCGTACGACAGGTGCTTGCCGTACTTCTACGTCACTGGCTTGTTTCATGCGGGTGGCCTTACCCTGGGCAACATGCTGCGGGAGCATCCGGAGGTGGTCGTGGTAGGTGCCGTACTGCTGTTCAAGGAGTCCTTAGGGGAATGCATGGGGCTTTGCGAGGTGGAGGCCAAGAGCCGGCCCATGCGGAATACCCATCGCAGTTACGCTTTATTAGGGAAAGGTGAGTAGGTAAGGAGCCGCAGCTGACCTACGATGTTCCTCTCACCCAACGCAGGACGCCTGCACGGGCTGCCAGTTCTGGGGCGAGGAGGGCAAAAAGATGGGGTTCTACCTGGACCACATGCGCGAGGCGGCCAAGGCCATCCAGGCGGCCCCGGATACCAAGGTGAGCGGGTGCATGCGTTATGCCGACGGAGGTGTGCTGGGACATGTGCGTGCGCGCTGCAAGGCGAACTGGGTTGTGCGCGCATGCGAGGCATTGGTTACGAGGTGAGTGTATGCCAGGCCAGCAGTGCACTTACTGCGGCCGCACGTGGCCGTGAAGCAACCATGCATCGGCCCTTCTCTCCACCACGTTTTCTCCCCCTACGGAAGCCCGTCACGAAGCCCGTCGTGAATACCGCCATGGGTGTGTATTCCGGGAATGACCCGCAGGTGCTTATGGACGGATCCGCCTCCACGTTTGCCTTTTACTGGGCAGGCGGGGGCAAGGCGCACAGGTGAGCCCCTTGGAGACCAAGGTCAGGCCTTGCAAGCCTGTGCTGCCTGCCTCCTCAGGCCTTGCATTGCGCGTTTGGGTTAGCGGGGACCTTTTTTCGTCCGCCCAGTTTTAGTTTTAGTATACTTAGCTCCAGCCCTTTGCTCCTTTCCTAAATTCCTGGACCTTTCCTCGCTACACCTTCCTCCTGCACAGGGGTTTCGCGGAGGCCATGCAGCCCTGCTACCGCAGCTGCGTGGACTCCATGCACAAGGACAAGGTGCCGGTGGAGGAGTGCATGGACAAGAAGTGCTATAACATGAGCCTGGCAGCGGATGTGCAGGTGGGGCTGGAGGGCGGTGGGGCCGTGTGCGGGCTGAGGGGGAAAGGTTTAGATGTCACCATGTTGCTTGCATGCGTGCGTGGGGAGGGGCCTTTGAGGGTAAGGGCAGACATGGACTGGGCGTGAATGACTCAACTCCTTCCCAACAAGGAGTTCGTCCCTAGCTCCCTTCAACAAGGCCCAGTAAACCCAGTAAACTATGCCCATCACATCGCACACATGGAGCCTCACCTCTCAACCCCCCTTACTCCCCAGCGCGCCGTCTCCGCCGGCATCGATTACGATACAGAGGCGCACAACCCGCTGCTGGTGCGGGCAGTGTACGGCAACCGCCCGCCCAAGATGATCCTGGTGGTTCGGGACCCCATCCCGCGCCTCTACTCGGCCTTCATGGGCTACCCGCACTACTACGGGAAATACGGTACGTGCCGAAGCACGCACATGTATGCGTTTGGACGCTTGCAGTACATGTATGCTTGCGGCTGGGTGGCCGTGTTGCATTACCAACCCCGATGCTCGCCGCCTCACCCACTTGCTTCGGCTGCAGCACGCCTGTCCTCCCTTCCTGCCCCAACGCGCATGCTAACGCATTCCGCGGTTGCCCTCCTGCTGCTGCGGCTGCTGCTTTACCCTCTCGGCTCCTCCTGCAGGCAAGACCAGCGCCGGGTTCACTGCCTACGTGAAGGAGCAGGTGGGCGCCTTCCGCACCTGCGCGGCCAGCTACGGGGAGCGCCGCTGCGCGCTGCTGTTCGAGGCGTTGGGCGCGCGCGAGGAGAAGGTGTACTTCCATGCGGATCAGGTGGGGGCTGGGGTGGGGTGGGCGAGGTGCAGGAGACTCTTTACATGGGTTACACATGTTCTGCCCCGGGTTTGAGGAACGGTGGGAGCGGGGGAGGCCTATTTACATGTGGATCTGGTGTGGTGATGTGACTGTGCCGTATGCGGTGGTGCAGTCGGAATACATGATGGGGGTCAGCTCCCATTCCTTATTCCCATCCACCTGGCCATTCTCATGCGCCCAGTGTACCATATCTTAATGGACTGTTGCGCCTTTGCTCTGCCTCCTACCGCCGTACGTACGTGTGCAGCTGATGCGCGGCATGTACGGGCTGTTCCTGGAGATCTGGTACCGCTTCATCCCGCCCACCAACTGGATGGTTGTCCACTCGGACGACTTCTTCAGCCAGCCCAAGGACACGCTCAAGCGCGTGATCGACTTCCTGGGGCTCAAGCAGGTCGACGATGCAGCACTGGAGAAGATGGTGGGTTGAAGGCGCTTACCTAGCGGAATATTGTGGGTTGCAAGCCCGAAAGGCGTTGTTCGTCGAACGTACGCCGCGTGACACACCGTGATGGATAGGAGGTCGCGGCAGAGATACCCGGTAGCGCTGCAGTGCAGTCTCCCTCCCTTCCTAGGGTAGTACTGGCGTTTAAGGACATGCTGTAACCGGCCCTGTAAGGCCCATGTATAGGGCAAGGGCTGTGTCGCTCGTGAGTGCATGCATGCAAAACCCGGGTTGCCTGCGTTGATCTCATCATGTCCCTTATGTCCCTACGCAGCGGGCTGCCGGCAAGCCGAACACCTACACCACTGGCCAGCCGCCTATGGAGCCCGAGGCTCGGAAGCTGCTAGCGGAGCTGTACACGCCGTACAACTCCATGCTAGCGAAGCTGACGGGCGATAAGCGGTACGAACAGTGGAACCAGCAACCGCCGGCGCAGCAGGCATGAGCACAGCAGCGACGACAGTGGCAGCTATAGGGGGGTGTGAGTCTAGGCGTGCGACGTTGCTGTAAGGTCATGTGTGTCCGGCGGGGAGGAGGCGCACTGGTCCGTCTCTAGATTCGGTTCTTGAACAGCAGAAGCTGGTGCGGGCGAGCGCGCGCTTGCAGGTCGAAGAAGTGCATGGTGTGTTTGCGTGGTTGCGGGTTTACATGCATGCGCCGACAGGCGCTGAATGGGTTACCTGTGCCTTACTCTTTTGGGGTGGTTAAATTGCATGAATACTGACCTCTACCCTAACAGTTATAGCGGCTTTGATTGTTCCCGGGTCTAGTAAGACGGGGCCCGTGTTCAGAAAACTAGCCGCGAGTAGGAACGTACTGGGCCCGTGTATGGTTTGGCACTTGGCTCCGTGCTAGAGCCCTGACGCGGTGATCGGGGATGAGGCTATGTGATCTCGGTTGCCCGCTCTTGGTTCCATTTATGCCATGGTGGTTTACTACTTTCGTGATAATCCGCTTGTAGTACTGTGTGCGTGCGGCTCGTATTTTCGGGGATACGGTAGGATCACTAATCACTAGGCACATGCAGCCGGACGTGTGGTAACTGAAGCCGCAGAACCGACACCTGGCGACCCAACACATGTGTGTGTGTGTGATTATGTAAGTGGGCTGCTGACCCGGTCTGAGGCTGGCTTTGCACAGGGGTATGCCCGGGCGTTTAGCTTGGAGGCCCCCACGAAGTCCCACGTGGCTGTAAGTAAACGCACCGAGACCGTCCGGGTTGTCCATGTATATGGCATGTGTGGCTCAGAAGGGAACCCTCCGACGGTCATTCTGGCATATTCGCCGTGGACGTGTGGTGCCGTCCTACAAACAAGCAGGCTGTCGTAGCATTACCTCTTGCAAGGACACGTCGCATGGTCCAACCTGCTAGCTCACAATGCCCTTGCGTTCTCTTGCGTCGATTGTCACCCGATTAGGACACCCAACTGTCATGTCCCGGTTTTGGGCGGGGTGGTAGACCGACGACCATGCCACTCCAAAGCCCATAACAGCCACGTCTGCTTTAATACCTGTTAAACACCAATGGCGTGAGCAGTGCTATGTCCCCACCTGACATGGTTCATGAGCGGTACAAGCATACAACCATTGCGTCTTGGTGTGCCTCCTCATGACCAGCAATTCACATTATACTCAATCCACATTACAGAATCAGGGTCGTACAACCAGGGCCTAATGAACTAAAGCCCAAATCAGTTTGAAAACATACCAGACTTGACTGCAATCACAACCGCCATCCCAAGTCTACAACCCATACTGAACCCCTTCCCTAATCCAACAACTCAGCAACCCCCACCGCCTTAACTACCGCACGTCCACCACTGCTGCATCTCCTCACCGGCGCCCGTAGCTACCCCACCGGGAGGGCGACGCAGCCGGGCTACCTCCGCCACCACCCGACAGAGGCCCCGGAGGACCGCTGCCCGGCCCCACAGCACCGGGAGGCCCCCCTGAAGCTCCACCCCATGCCAGCACTCTCGTGGTGGTAGCCAGCAGTGCTACCTCCTGCATGGACAGAAGGCGCGGAGGAACGGAGATACGGGGGTGCGAAGGTAACGACACGTAAGTGTGAGTCAGGTTTATGCTGTACAAGGTGCTCTTTGAGCTGTTTGCCATGCAACAATGTAAACAATTGGAACAGCGCCTAGCTCCTATCTGCCTCCTAAATACCCACTAAATACCACCGGCTTCGCACCTGCTGAATCATCGCCAACTCATCATCGTCGCTCAAGCAGCTGCTGCCACCGCCGCTAACCTGCGCCTGCAACGCCGCCCGCTGCTGCTGTTGCTGCTGCTGCAGTCGCGGTGACAACGGCGCCGGCTGTCCGACCGCTACACCCGCCATTGCGACGCCACCACCCACCAAGTCCACAGCGCCAGAGCCGGCAACGCCTGAACCGCCGAGCGGCGAAAGCCCAGGTCCCGACCCACGGGTCACCAGATGACCCGGCGGCGTTACAGCCACCCCCGCCGACATCAAGTGATGTTGCGCAGCTGGTGAGGCAAACGCCGCCGCTGCGGCACCTGTCAGGCTCAGCCGCGGCATGTAGCTGCTGATGTTCAAGCCGGCGCCGAGGGCAGGGAAACCGCCGCTCGCAGTGCGACTGTGGTGGCCGGATTGCGCCGGTAACATCATGTGGCGGTGATGATGGGAGGGGTTGCTGGCGGCTACAGAGGTGTCCAGGGAGGGAGCGCGAAGCAGCGACCCGGAGGTGGCGGCGGAGGCAGTCGTAGCAGGTGCTCCGCTGATGGAGGCTTCTCGAGGGGCAGGCTGGAAGGAGTCGCTTCGTGGCGTCGGGGGCAGGGATGATGGAGTGCCGTATAAGGCACCGTATCCCGCAGCGAGGTCGCCGGCGTGAAATGGTGGCGGCGGACCCGCGGCTTGCATGGGCATGACTGGCATGACGTAGGCTGTGGCTGCCGGTGTTATGTGCGCTGCGGTGGTGGGCTGGGTGGTGGGGACGGATTGATGGAAGGCGGTGGTGGGGAGGGGTGATGAGGGTAGGGTTGGCGGCGGGACCGACATGGAGAGCGGCTGCGCGGCTGCGTCTTGATGCCATTGCGGCTGCTGTTGTTGCTGGTCCTGACTGGCTCCTTGCCTTCCCGTGTTGCCGTTCTGGTAGCCAGGTTGTTGCTGTTGCTGGTGGGGGTAATGCGGTGGTGGAGTCGATGGCATGGCTGAGGCCGGAGCCTGTGGAACGAACGAGGGCACCGTTGCCGCCCCAACCGCCTGCGGCCACAGACACATGGAGAACAATGGAAAATGGTGGAAGGAGAAAACACCGGTTCAACGTAAGCGGCAGTGACACTTGGGCCCTTGCCGTGCCCATTCAGATGCTATACCCCTTACGGCACTACCCTTCATCACAGCCCTATCCCCGCCCCAACGCATGACAGCTGGTCTACGCAGCAAACTATTCTTCAACCAACGGTTACGCTCCTGCGCGCATGCATGCTGCTTCACTTGGACATCACCAGTTCGTGCGCAACCCACTTCCCTAGGCTGCCCCAGGTCCCTCTCCTCAAGCCCCTCACACCCCTCCTGCCCCACCCCCACCCCACCTCGAGCGCAGCTGTACTGACGGGAAGCCGCCCAGACACCGAGCTGGCACTTTCAAGCGCGGCGGAGGAGATGGGCAGCAGGGACGAAGGAGCCGTAGCGGCTGAGGAGGCTCTAACACCGCCACTGCCAGCAGCAGCCGCTGCCGCCGCGGATGCCGCCTCCAGCTGAGCCCTGCAAGACGGCAAGACAGGCGGATCATCAATTTTCATCGACACGCGCATTTGTTTCATGTTTCATGAAGCAGTGAAGCAGGGGGCTAACAACCAGCTTAACCTCCTCTGCATATCTGCAGGTGTGGGTGCAGGACGAGGTTGTCCAGTGTCATGTCTTCAAACGCCCGATGTACGGCACAGGCGCTGTACGGCACAGGCGTAACTTCGCAACCACACAAGCGTATGCGCACACGCACCTGCAGGCTTCCGCGTTCGCCAGCTGCTGCGCCAGCGGGGTCAGCGAGGTGCGCACCAGCCGCCGGATCCGAGCTCTGTGGGAGGGTGGGGGCGCCCGGGGGGGTCAAAGACCATACCAAACCATAGGAGACCACAACCACTGCCCGGGGAGGGGGGTGTAAGGCGATAGGGTACCCGGTAGACGCACCCATCCATGGTAACCCCAGGATCCAGAACCAGCATGCTACCTAGCAATATAGCCTGGCAACGGGCATGAACTACCACACACCCATAAAATGAAACCGTCAACACACTCCTCCCATGTCAAAATGTACGGTACCAAAACATGTTCCATTTTATTTTCTTCGCCACCCACCTGTTGTCCTGTGAGCGAACCGCCAGCAAGAACACCATCCACGCCACCTGCCGCCGTCGCTCCTGCGCCGCCGCCGTCATGCCTCCGCCGCCGCTGCCGCCAGCAACACCCCCCGCCGCATGCAGCCCTCCTGCGCCCCCACCCGCCGTACCCGCACCCCTTCCGGCTGATCCCGCTGCCGCCGACGCTGTCCCCGCTGCCGTCATGTGCCCTGACGACGCCGGGCTCAGTTGCTGCTGCTGCTGCAGGAGCACCCCGTTCGCGACCTTCTGGAAGGCAGCCGCGGCGGATCCAGCCAGGCCCGCCCACCATGCAGGACTGCCCGGGGCGCTGGAGGCGGCTGCGGAGCCCCCTGCTGCAGGATGCCCTGACAGGGAGGTGCTGAAGACCAGGCCGGAGGAGTGGTCTGCGGCAAGGGCGCCGCCGTGAGGGAGCGGCTCGAGGCGCGGGAGTGACCCATGGGTCAGTGGGCCCTGCGGCGGGGGAGGGGCAGCGGAAGCAGAGGGGATTCAGGACGGACAGGGACGTTTAGCGGGAATGGTAGCACCGGCGATAACGGCTGATTGTGAATGAGAGGAGGAATGTACTTGCTCAGGAGCATAGCAAGGAAGCATAGTACCAGTAGCTTACCCTGCCGAACAATAGCCCAGCTCCTCTTTGTTCCTGCTGCCCTTGCTTAGCCCCCTTCTGTTGCTGCTGAGCTTGTGAAGCTTGCGAAGCCTCCAAGCCGTCAGCCGCGTCAGCAACCGCCGTCAGCACCACCGCCGCATCCCGTACGGCCGCCGCCGTAACGCCACCCGAAGGCATTAGCGACGTAACGGCTACGTGCCATGGACCCTGATGATGCTGTTGCTGCTGCGATTGTGGCGCCGAACTTTCGAAACCGTCCGAGGATGTAGCAGGGTTGCCGTACAACACGGAAATCGGTCCGTACGGCACGTACAAGGCGAGCACGAGCAGATCCACGAGATCCAATTCGAAGGCTTCACGCGATGGAGATTGGAAGTGTGCGGCGCTTCGAATGACGACCCACTCGACGGCTCGTGCGGCGGCGTAGGAAGTCGCAGCGTCTGCGAAATGACGAATACAGGTAAACCGCGGTGCAGGGGAGGCGTTACAAGCCTTTGCAAGAAGCTTTTGTTGTGCAACAAGACTCGGACAGGACATGTAGCAATTACAGCCGGTCAGCTGTACTACAGTTGCGCCGTGTTGTACCGTTCAACCCCCGAACCCACCAGATGCCACCAGAAGCTTCAGCAGTGCCACAGGCAGGAAGGGCTGCTCCTGCAATCAAGAAAGAGAGCACCAAAAACGCGGGGGCGTTGGCACCAGACCGTTGTGCGTCCCGATGCCAAGACGCACAGGCTTCCTTCCTTCATTGTTGCTGTGGGCTCTTTTCCCCTTGACGCCCCGAGCCGCCTCAGGCGCTATCCCACGGTCGCAACTTGTTTCGACAGGACTCCCCTCCCTCAGACCGCTCCCTCCTCGTACCTCCAGTCTCGCCAAGTTTGCCGTACTCTCCCACACCAGCGCCGCAACAGCGGTACATGCCGCCGCCACCGCTGGCGACAGCGCCACGCGCGCCGCCGTCACCGCCGCCGCCGCTTCTCGATCTTGCCCCTGCCCCTGCTGCTGATGCTGCTGCGGTGCCGCTGCCGCCGTCGCAACCAACCCAAGCCGCGGCGCCGCCGTCATTACCTCCGCCGTCGCTAGCAGAAAGTCCCCGAGAAGCGCCACGCCGCCCAAATCCCGTACATAGTCCTTGTTGCCGGCATTGAGCTCCACACAGGCGCTCAGCAACCCAAACAACGCGCGCAGCAGCCTTGACAACGCCGCCGCCGCCTCCGTTCCCTGCCGTACCCCCGCTGCCGCCGCCGGCCCGACCTGCTTTCCTTCCGGTCCGCTTCCGGCGCCCTCATCAGAGCCCTGAATACCGCCACCGCCGCCACCGCCGCCGATGCATACTTCCAACGGTAGCGCCGCAAAAGCATCCCGAGCGAGCTCCACCGCCACCTCAAGTCCGCCCTGCAAAGCCACCTCGTCCTGGTTCGCATGGTTGCCCGCCGCTAGCTCCGTCAGCGCCGCCGCCGCGGCGGCGGCGCCGCCGCTGCCCGCCAGCCCGCACCGCCGTACCGCCGCTACCAGCGTCGCCGGCAGCCCTGAGTGCCGCGCCGTGTTCTTGACGAACGTGTTGGCACGCAGCATCACCGTCAGCATGTGCAGCGCAGGGCCGGCGGCGGTGCCGCCAGCTCGTACGACATCCGCCGCCGCCGTCAGCGCTCCCTGCGACACGAGTTCGTTTTGAATGTCCGTATCGCCGTGAGCTAGCGACGCCAGCAAATCAGCCGCCAGCTCAGCCGTCGTCGGCGTCGACTGGCTGGCGGCGGCGGCGCCGCCGCCGGCGACGGCAGCAGCGGGAGTCCGCAGCAGATGCAGCAGCAGCGGCAGCACCCCGGCGGCGACCAAAGCCGACTTAGACTGAGCATTGCCACCGCGGACCAGCGCTGCGAGCAGTGACGCCAACGCCCGTACGGCTTCCGCTGCGGCCGCCGCCTTCGCAGGCGTATAATCCACTGCCGTACGCCCGATTCCGCCAGCGCCGGCGCCGCCGCCGCTCCCGCCGCCGCTGCCACGGCGGAAGCTGCTGCCGCCGACGGCGGTATGAACGCTACTTGTGCTGCCGGCGTTACAGCAGTGTTCAAGCCACCCGACGGCAATAGGTACGACTCCCAAAGCAACTGCACCATTTTGTCCAGCGGGATGCTCGTCCACGACGGCCGTTAGCGTCCGTACAGCAGCTGTACGAATGTCGGTATCGAGATGCTCGTCCCGTACAAGCGCGCAGACGGGGTGTAGCAGCCCCAGCGCGAACAAAGCCTCCTATTGCGGGCACAGGCGCATGAGAACAAGGAAGACGAGAGTTAGGAGTGGTTGCTGAAGCGCTTCTTCCATATAGGTAGCCGCTAGCCGGCCTTTATGCATAACTACTTGCATGCCTCTTGTACCCACAGCCCCCATCATCACGCACTCTCTCAGCAGCAATTCTCATTCACCCCTACGAGAGGACATGCCGCCACCCCCCTCCTGCCACCCCCTCCCGCCACCTGCCTGCGAGCCCCGGCTGCCCTGCGCCCCCGCCGCCAGCGCCTCCAGAGTGGCCGACGTGAGCGGCGCATCGTCATCAACCACCACCTCCACACTCGACCTGGGGCCGGTGGTAGCACCGGTACGGCACAGGACAACAACGTCTGTGTAGACAGCAGTGTGCGGCACTCGGCCGTTTCACCGGCACTCCAATCGCAAGCAATGTGTTTATCTTTTGCGCGAGGGCGACATGTTGATGGGTCGCAGCACGCAAGTGCCCTGCAACCCTCCCATCGCCGTCCCTCCTTCCTCCCCCCACCCACCTCCCCAGTCGGGATACAAGGGTATTGGGACTCCACTTGCTTCACTTTCCATACACTTCCCCACCCACCTGGTCTTGCGCCGATCCGCCAGCACCGTCAGCTGCGACACCAGCAGCGGCAGCAACCCGTGCTCCCGAGCAGTCAGCTTGTTGGCAGCGTTGCCTGGGGGAAAAAACGAAATTCCAATGTGTGGTGTGATAGTGGTAAAACAAGCTGACAAGCCTGGGGGGGCGTCACCGGGGCGGGGGGGCGAAGCGGTGTGTGGGGGCGGGACGTGGGGAGCGCCACGCCAATCAGCGTGCGTGTGAGTGGAACGAGGGGACGAAGGCGCGCCTTCGTCCCCCCTGGCACTCTGCTACACCGCCCAGGAGGTGCTGTACACGGAGGACGGGTGCACTGGAAGTAGAAGCAGAAGCGCGCACGGACCCCTTCCCATCGAGGCAGTTACATTCAGCCGATATCCAAACCCGGTGTGGGTGTTCTTGCCGTTTGCCGTCCCTGCCGTACCCTGCAGCGCCAGCGCCAGTGTACGGCATGTGGCCACCCTCAGCTGATACACATCCATCACCCCAGGCCGCATCAGGCTACCCAGCAGGGTGGTCAGCACTCCCACACCGCCCGCGGTGCGCAGCTCGTCCTGGAGAGGGGGGCAGGGGAAGGGGAGGGAATCAGAGATATACCAGAACTACAGGGTAAGGGAGGGGAAGGGGAAGGGGAAGGGGAAGGGGAAGAGGTGAGGGGAAGGGGAAGCAGAGAAGCGTATCCGCTTGGGATGGCGACCTGTGGAAACGGAATCAGTGGGCGGCGGCAGCGCCCATACAAGGGCTGCGCGAAGGACGGATGCATGCATGGCTACTTGCTCAGCGGCCCCAGGTACCGCCAGCCACCGCCGCTCGTACACTACGTTTTCCCTACATGAGCCCCCGGTGCATGCCCCAGCACCCTATAGGTATGTGCCCCACACCTCGCCGTTTGCTTTCCCTTCCCAACCACCACCAGCCGCCACCCTGTGTACGACATGCACGACACGTACAGGTGGGCAGTACGACACGCACTGCATCCCCCCCGCTGCCCCCCACCTGCGCCCCCTCTGCATGCAGCAGTTCCATGTCCAGCAGCGTCAGCAGCGAGGCAGCTAGCTTGGAGTGGTGCACCCCCGCCGCCTCATGGTGCAGCAGCTGCAGCAACCCGTACAAACCGCCAACCGCCGCAAACCGCCGGCACACCGCCGCCGCCGCCGCTTCCATGGCGGCATGCGGACTCTCCGCTGCCGCCGCCGCTGCCGGCGGCGCCGCCGCCGGAGCCGCCATGAGCCTCAGCAGCGCCTTAATGGCGGCGGAGGGGGTGCAGTAATCGCAGTAGGTGGTTGCGCCGTGCGAGCCGTAGAAGCAGCTGCTGCTGGTGGTGAAGTCCAGGGGCACGCGGCCCAACAGGAAGAGGCGGTGGGGGCGGGCGGCGGCGTGGGGGTTGGGGTTGGGCCGCACGTGGACGGAGGGCAACGGGGCGGGGGAAGCAAGGGAGGCGGTGGTTGCAGCTGCGGAGGCGGCGGGCATAGCGGCAGCAGTGCCGCTACCGGCAGCAGCCCCGCCACCGCCGGCGCTAGCGCGCTGCGAACCCTTCAAGATGCCCTGCTGTTGCTGTTGCTGTTGGAGGAGGAGGAATTGCTGCTGCTGCTTTTGCTCCTTGCTGTGGTCGTGCTGGTGCGGCTTGGCGGCTGCGGCTGAGCCGGAGGGGCCGCCGCCGCCCCCGCCCCCACCGCCGCCGGCTGCAGCTGCTGCATGGTGCGTCTGCAGCATCTGCACCTGGATTTGCTTGCGCAGTGTGAGACCGTGAAGGGCGTCCGCACTCTCCTGCAGGTGCAGGTGCGGGTGCGGGTGCAGGTGCAGGTAGGGCCCCATGAGCGCCGGCAAGTAGGGCATGCGAGCAGGCGGTGTGGATGGTGAACGAGGACATACGACCCCTCACACCCACACCCACAATGTCACACCCACCTGCAGCAGCAGCGCCAGCTCCTCCACCGCCCCCTCCGCCACCAGCTCCCACCCGCCCGCCCCGCCCGCCAGCTGCACAGCCACCTCGGCAGCCTGCCAGGACAGCCCCATGTCGCCGTGCGCCAGCAGCTGCGGTGGGGGGTGGCGGTTGGGTTGGTGGCGGTTGGGTTGGGTGCGAGGTAGGTTGGTTGCGAGGTAGGGGTGCAGGGGCACGGAAAGCGAGTCGGCATTACGAGTAAGCGGGCTGCACCAGCCTAACGTCCTGACGTCTGACGCAGACAGGACGCTGCTAGGATAACGCCCCTCCCCGCCCGCACCCCTCACCTGCACCAGCAGCGGCACCAGGCCCAGCTCCGAAACCAACCGCTGGTTCTCCTCACAGTCGCACAGCAGCGTCTTCAACGTTGCCAGCGCCTCACGCAGCGGACACAACCGCCGCCGCAACAGCACCCCGCTCACGGCAGAAGCTGTTGTGGCTGTGGAAGCGCCGCCGCTGCTGCCGCCGGAGGCTGCCGCCGTCGCTGCTGCATCACCAGCGTCGACAAGGAAGGGAAGAAGCAGGCCATAGCACGCCAGCCGCGCGCCTTCCACTACGGGACTGACCCGCGGGTCGCTTGTCGCAGCTCCTGTCGTTGAAGTGGACGTGGAAAGCGGCATGGAGTCAGCTGCGGTGACGGCAGCGGATGAACTTGGTGAGCCGCCATCGCCAGAAACGTATGGAGTAATCTCAGGATGGCTGCGGTCCTTTCTTTCCTCAACCAACAAAACCTCCCTTCCCGCTTCCTCCTCCCGCCTCTTCCCACTCTCAGCACCACCCTCCTCCTCATCATCATCATCCAAATCAGATGCCAGAGGTGATGGTGTTTCCGCACCGTCTTCTCCATCATCGCCGCCAGCGCCAGCACCGCCGCTGTCCCCGCTGCTGGCTGCCGTACGGCCCACGCCCTGCGTCGTACGGCCCTCCGCCGCCGTACGTCTGCGTCGCCGCGGCGAGAACGATAGTTCCGGTACGACACCTTGTATCAGCAGTACCGCCAGCAGCCGCTGCCAGGGCGTCCAACGACCCAGCGCCTCCGCGGCGACTTGGCCGTACGGCCCTTTCCGTACAGTGTCCTCTTGTTCCGCTGTCGTACCGCTGCTTGGATGCTGCGGGTTTTGGAATACCTCTGCATGGACGTCGCACTGATGGTGGGCCGGCGGACGCACAGGGCTCATCTGGAAACCCGCCCTGGCTAACGACGCTGACCCATGGGTCAGCTGCACAGCCTGCTGGCTTCCTGCCTGCGAATGGACCGCCCCTAGGCCATACCGGCGCTGCTGCTGTTGCTGTTGTACGGCAGTTGCGGCAAGCGTGTACGGCGCGCTGTGTCGCCGTACCAAATCCACTAGCACAGCCGGCACCCCTGCTGTTCGTAACGAGTCCTTGCCCTCATCGTGGCCTGCCACTTGCACGTGAAGCACCCTGCCAGGCGGGGTGCACGGCATTAGCGTGTACGGCACATAAACAGGAAACCACATTTACCACGATCCGAAACCAATCGCATCCTGCCTAAATACACGTCCCTTATCAGCCCCAGTCGACTTTCATGAGCCCCTCCTAGGCCTCAATCCCTCACTTCGAGGCGCCAACAATTAGCACACGTGCCTCAAACCCACCCTCCGCACAGTCCCCGCAAAGCCCCTACCCCACCGCAAACCGCAACGCACCGTATGGTCAGCGCCGCCAGATGTCCGTGCTGGGCGTGCCACGGCATGCCGTACAGGAACAGCAACGGCACCAACCGCTCCGCAACCGCCGGGTGGTAGGGCACGGAGCTGACTCCGCCGCCCCCGCCGCCCGCCATGGCGAGTGCATCTTCATCCGTCAGGTAGGCCAGCGTCCACAGCAGCTCCTGTGGGGGGGCACGGTGGGAGGGATATCATCATGTGTATCAGTGGACCCGTTGTGTCTTCGCAAAGCGGTAAAGCCCTTCATGTAAAGCAAGCAACAATACGTCATAAGAGTCATCAGGCTTAGTTTCCCCCTGACCCCCTGACCTGTACGGCAATCAGGTCGCACAGCACGTCCAGTCGCCGCAGCACGCGCAGCAGCACGGGCAGCGCCCCCGCCGCCAACAGCTTGTCTCGGTGAACTGGGGAAGGACAGGGAGAGGACAGGGTGGCAGACGGGAATAAAGACGGCAAGCGAGGAAATCTGGTCTAATGAATGCGTTAAGGGCTGATCAGAGATTCATACAGACGGATGGGCATTCAGTTATCTGCTATTTCCGAAAGTAGCAACAAGGCGCGGGTGGTGGGTTTTGCTGTCGTACCTGTTCGTTGCGCCACGATACCGTGCAGTACGGTCGCCACCGCCTGCCTCGCGGGTCCGCAGGTGAGGTCACTTTCCAGCAGCGACAGCAGCAGCCGCAGCGCCTGAGGAAGTTGGGGTTGTGGGTTGGGTCGGGTTGGCTTACTTGGCGTGAGAAATTGACACACTGTGGTGAACGTGGCTGTGCTGGGGTTAGAAACGCCAAGTTGGAAGAAAGGCAAGTACGGTATGCTTAGGGGCGACTTGGAGGTGCAGCCAAGTGTGTGCGTGCTGGGTATATGATGCTGGCACACAGCAGGAGCAATGGTGCTAGCGGCAGTACTAACAGCGGCAGGTACTGATAGGAGCAGCACGGTTACGGTAGTTGCAATCTTCGTACAGCAGCAGTGTCAGCTCCCCCGGCAGCATTAGCGCACCTGCGGTTGCGAGACTTCGGAGCCGCCATCGCAGCGCACCAGCGCCACAAGCAGCCCCGCCGCCGCGGTGGATAGGGCCCGCCAGGCGGGGTGGTGGCGGGGAGCCTGGCACAGCACATCTGCATTGGGGGCGGGCGGGTAGGATGGAGGTGGCGGGGTTGTTAAGGGAGGGTGAGGTAGTTGGGGGTTTGGAGCGGCCGTATGGGGAGGACACGTGGGCGGCAGAAGCTGCAGCAGAGAGGAAGGAGAGGTTCGTACTGTGTCATTGCGTTGAAGGGTTGGTGGGTCTTTTTTGTTGGATGGTCCAAGAATGGTCCCAATGAACCCGCCGGCGCCGTATAGCGTGTGAGGTGTGACGTGTGCGCTGCAGCTGCTTACCGAGCACGACGCCTGTGACGCCGGCATTCGCCAATTCGTGTGCCATAAGCGGTTTGACGTCTAGTGTTAGGCAGGTAAGCTGTAGCAGACGAGAAAGTGTTTGCCATTTTCCCCGGGCGAGTTGTAAGATGAGCACGTGGACGACGTCGGTTGTTTCCTGCAGACCGATAAGACGGTTACCACATGTCAGATGTCACGTTATCTCCCATCCAGTGACGGGGAAGGCAGAAGAGTCCCGCATGATCTCGATGTGCACATTCCAATGCATTATCGGGGGCTGGGGTCTGTTTATACGGTCCTAAGTGGCACCGAGCGAATGATCTGTCACCTATTGCCGAATGCACCTGCACAAACGGGACGTCCTCTTCCTTCACCGGATGATGCCGAAGAGGTAGCCAGTTCAGTTGACGACCCATCGCATATTAACTATAGGAAGTTGGGTAAGCACAATTAGGGTAACTTTACTTGTCGCTAAGTATAGGAGGACGTGATCAACATTTTTGTCAGTGTTCTTTGTCTTTAATCCCTCGCGTACATGATCTACACTTGCTTTCTTCTTGGACAAGTCATGCCGTACAGGCGGGGGCAAACGTAATATATGCCGATCCTGCGCAGCAAGCAGTCACAATTGCTTCATTAGACCCCAGTGATACACCTCTGTTCATCTATCACCCCGCTATCTTTGGCGACTCAGCCATGCCGAAGACTTCTCGATACGCGCTCATCGTGGACAATATTAGCAGTACTACTCCAGTTAGGGATATTGAGTAAGTCATGGCCTAGGCGCGCCTCCTTTCAAGGCCTGTCCTGGATTCCCTGAGAAGCGTTCCTCTTACCTTTCTCTTTTGGCTTCTCCCGCAGGCGCGAGTTTGCGTATTATGGACGCATCAGGGATTGCGTCAAGGATGGAAAGCATAGGCTTGCGCTGATTGAGTTTGAGAAGTGAGTCGCGAAGATTCCGGCGACATTCTATTGCGTGTTTGTCCACCTGATTATGAATACCATGCGAGCGTTGTGACAGCTTGCTTTTTGTATATCACCGCACGCCAGCGCCAACCGTCTATCCTGTTGCCTTCCACGCCAGTCCTTTCCAATTGCCCCCGTTTCTTTGTGCCAATGGCACGACCTGCCGCCGCGCAGCTTCCGCTGTGAAGTTCACGCTGTGCCACCATGACCAAGCTCAGAGCTGCACAAGCTTCTCTGAGCGAATAGGTCCGGCAGGTTGCTCGTGTGTGCTTTGTGCGCGGTATGTTGTGTCCTGACTTGACTGGACGCTTCATGACAGGCCATGGGGTCCCTTAGCTGACTCAAATCACAACTGCACTATTAACTTAGCCCTCCCTCTGCATACCTCAACATTAAATTCGATTCTACGGGCAACTAGTCTTGCGCAAACGTGGTAACAATAGAGTGTGCCTTTGGCTGCAGTTGGGGGACGACATGTCGCTTGTGGAGGGTCATAAGAGTTATACCTGATGGTGGCCGCCAGTGAAAGCAATGGCAGCTAGCGTTCTCTTGCCATGGCTAGGGTTTTAACGCGTGGCGACCCGTTGCTTGCTCGCCCTTACTGCCGTACAGGTCTCTGGACGCGCAAGCTGCATGGCGCAAGATGGGTGAGTATGCGTGTCATGCTTTGCTGCTGTCGCTGCTATTCCTTGCATGTAATGCCGTTAGCTGCACACGATCGCACTGCACTCCGCGCGCGTTACGTGAGAGGCAGTAGCCTGCCGTCAGTAGGCCGTTGTTTAGGCTGGGCTGCCTTTCCCTTTCCGTCCAGTCGCGAGGCAGCCGTTCTGCATCCAACCACCTGACCAACCAACAACCACCTCTTTAACATATACACCGGTTTGCTTGTTGCTCCCAACGATCCGCAGACGGTTTCCGCCTGGATGGCCGCACCTGGAAGGTGGACTGGGCCACCCGGGATGACTTCCGCTTCTTCGGCTGGAAATGGTTCGAGTACTCACCCTCTCCCGTTCGGTGAGTCCAGTATCTCGTGGAAGGCCTGCTAAGCCCACTTGGGGACTCAACTCCTCTGATCGGCGGGAGCTGTGTTTCTCATCTCCTCCGCTTTTGGATTCCCTGCGCCGCGGACCCCTGACATCGCATTGCGCTGCCTCCCTCCCCCCCTGCCGCCTCTTTCCCAGGTCGCGTTCTCGTTCGCGTGGTCGCTCGCGGTCGCCCTCTCGCGGCGGTTCGCCTTCCCGCTCGCCGCGGCGGTCGCGCTCGCCCAACACCCCGCGCGGCAAGGACGACCGACCGCGGGGCGCCTCCAAGTCGACCTCGCCGCCCCCTCGGCGTGAGGACGGAGGCTACAAGGGGGGTGACGGCGGAGATCGCGGACGGTCGCCGTCTCCTGATCGGACCCGCAGGGGCTGAGAGCTCGGGGCGGTGCACGATGGGGGCTGCAGGGGTGTTGGCATATTGCGTGTGGTGCGTTGGGAGTGGGGCAGTGCGTAACGCCTGGGGCGCAGTGTTGGGACTGTAGAAATACTTAACATTTGTAGGTAAAGTGGGAGGAGGTCAAAGAGGGCGCCTGATTAGAGAGAGACTGCTCCTGGGGTGGGCCGTAAGGGAAGGGAGATTGAGTGGTGGTTTAGCTTGGATACAGTACGGCATGGCTGGCTTCACTTTGTTGTCGGATTCCGGTCGGGAAACGTTGTTAGCGTTGCGAGGCTGCTGTGGTTACCTCCGTAGGAGGGTAGAAGGCAGGAAGTATAGCGTGTTGCAAGTGCATTTCGTTTCTTATGAACCTTACGAGGTTGTGTTAAGAGTTGACCGGAGAGCGGTTGGGCGGACATCCTAGCCATGGCGGTGAGAGCGCGGAGAGCTGCTGACAGTGCTGGCAAGTTGCGCTTTGTGTGCGGCTGCAAATTTTTGTCTACTTTTGAGCTCGTGCCTGCCTAGAGGAGGGGGTTGTAGCTTTGCTCCTAATATCAGTGGGCAGTTGGTTTTGGCGTAAGCATGCCGTGAGATGTTTAGGAGCGAGGGTTGGTACATGGTTGATCCTGGGGGGTATTTCGATGGCGGGTTATGGCTTGCAGGCTGCTAAGTGCCATGCGACGGTTTGTCTGTTGCGCAAACCTTTGGACCGTTAAGCATCTACCCTGCATACCGGTAGTTGCCTGCTGTGTTGTAAGCTATAGGCATGCTCCCATGCGCACAGCTTCCACGCTTTCACCTTCAATGCTAAACCCTGACTGCGGACCTGCTACGTCATATAAGGCATACTGGTATTACGACAGGCATGGTCATAAAGGGCTACCTTACTAGCAAACCGGCATTATCCATTCTGAGGTTTGCACACGTCTCAAAACTCAAAAATAACCAACCGTCCCCGTCCCCAGTATTAACAAGGCTTCCGAAGTCTATGTCGCCGTTGGAAAGAACCTGCGCGAGCGTCTAGAAAACGGATTCGGATCCCCCCATCGCCTTTGCATCAACCCGCCTAACTCCGAAACCAAGTGCCGACCGTCCAACTGCCCACCACGCCATCCTGTTAATTGCAGCTAATGCGCGCACGACCGATGCCGATATCTTATTTCTTACACACAGCCGTCATTGCTGTTGTTGCAAGCATGGGTAATGCCTCGCTAGCTTATTAGGACAGGCCGACAAGCGGCACCAAGCAATGCAGCCAAAGCGTATGCTTCTTGTCGAGCGCTTGGCATATTTAGCGGTGAGGTACTAGTTTTAAAGCCACGCTACGCATCGTGTGAAGCTCTATCATGATTGCCGCGATCACCGAGCTCCTTCGGATGGCCGTATTTTCCCCAGGTCATCGCTTGGGCACTATGGAATGTGACGTTTGAAGGTTATCGCTTTGCAAAACACGTCCGAAGCGTCACGCACCTTCCGGGACTTGTGTACGAAGGTCCCGTTCTGGGAATCAACGACTTGTCCGACTATCAATGGCGCAGCTTCCGAGCTTCAGCGGCCTTGCTGGCTGGCGCCATGGCGGGATTTGTTTGCATCTCGAGACTGGTCGGTTCGTTGGAAAGCGGTTATAAGATTGAAGTGGTCGAAGTTAGGGCGGTTGGGATACCATACTGCATGGGTTTCGGCAACAGCTGACCAAGCTTATCCCCAAGCCCGTCACCGCGCACTGCGCGCCCATTAGGAGACAACGCTGCAGATAGCCTGTTGTTGATAACACACTTGGATAACCACGCACGGGTCAAACATCAGCGTAAGGCCATGAGCTAGGAGCCCAAGAAGGACATGTTTCTCGGCCGCTATGAGCTATGGGATCCATCGCATGCGGGAAGAAGCCCCATGTACCCAGGCATAAGTGCTGCTCCATGTCCGTTTTCCTTCCAGACATGTAATAGGATGCTCTGCTCCGCACGCTGCCTCCCCTGCAGGCCCGTGCCCTCCCCGCGGGCAGGCAGCCACTCATGGTGGCTGTGTCCCTGCTCTTCCTGGGTAAGCGGGTGGGTAAAGAGGAAAAGGACGAGCTGGGTGGGTGGTGGCTGGGTGGGCAAAGAGGAAAAGGTAACCGTTTAACATCATGGGTGGGTGGGTGGGTGGCTAACATGTGAGACATGTCCGCATACGGGTTTGAACAGGGGCTGCGAGTGGCAGGATTGCTGCCAAACCTCCGAACCTCTCCTGTCTCTTTACATCTTGGCTCCTCCTTCCCCTCCACATGTTCGCAATGGCCGGGCAGTCGTGCTGCATGGCAGTTCAGCGATCTTCGTGCTACTGCTGCTGCTGGGTGGCTACGGCCTTAGCCGGCGAATGGCAAAAGTGCCGTACGGGTGAGTGTGTGCGCCGTACGAACGACAGATCTTGGGGCACGTAGGGGGCGCACGATTTGCATGGTTGCGAGCTACTATGTTTACCAGCCGCATGTCTCGTCGCTGGTGTTGTGCATGGCAGACGTAGTCTGTTGCTTCTGCCCTCATCAGCAACATTACAAACCTTCACCCAAACCCAGACATTACTAGCAACCCAGCGTCTCTAAGCCCCACACCCCCACCCCTCTTTCCTGCCCTTGCTTCCTTGTACTGCTGCTGACGTACGACGATTACGGCGGTCAACCGGCAGCCTGTTGGCTGTGTGGGCATACGCCTGCGCGACTCTGCTGCTGGTGCGGATCAAGAACGGATTCAGCTTCCATGCCGTCAGGTGGAATCTTGGGTTGGTACGGGTGTTGCAGCCTCTGATACACGATCACATCCTGCCAGTGCGGATACGTCGTACAGCGGACTAACATGTGGTTGCCGCCTTGCTGCCTATGCACCCACCTAACCGCTGTAACCCGACCCCACGCCGCCCCGCGCCACCTCATGCTTCCTCCCCCTGCATGCCCGCCCAGCCCCTCACTCTCCTTCCTGGACCACCACTCCGGCCTGCTGCGGTGGCACATCCACTACAATCTGCTCATCCTGCGACTCATCTCATTCGCGGCGGACCTCCACTGGTCCCGGAGCCCCCGCATGCAGCAACACCAGCAACACCAGCAGCAGCAGCAGCAGCAGCAGCAGGCGCCGCGAGCAGCAGCAAGCCCCGTAGCAGCCGCGGGCAATGCTGCTGGTGGTGGTGGTGCTGCTGCTGCTGGTGCTGGTGCTGGTGTTGCAAGGGGCGGTGGTGACGGGGGGCTGCTGGGGCTGTCCAGAGCGATGGAGAAGGAGCTCCGGGTGGGTGCGTCAGTGGGTGGTGCGTGGGTGGGTGGGTGTGTGGGGCTTGTCACCCTGCCTTGTTCTTCAACCCGGTTGCTGAGGTGGAGGTATGCTTGGGGGTTTACAGATTTTTGCGGGAAGCTAAGAGGACGTAGGGCAATAGCCGGTCTGCTGCTGCTAAACAGGACCCTTGTTCAGCTGCATTTGCAGCATTGCTGTTGCTGCCTCGCTACTGCTCCCACTGCTCCCACACCTCCCGGGCCCTCGCTACTACCTTGGCCGTACAGACCCGTGTGGAGACGCCTCTGCCCTTGTCGTACTATGGTCTTGGATCTTTCCTGGAATATGTTCTGTACCCGCCGCTCTACATCGCCGGCCCCATCATCACCTTCAATAGCTTCGCATCTCAGAGGCTTCTGGCACCGATCAAGCAGCTGGGAGCAACACAGGTTGGTTGTTGGCACCTTCGAAATGCTGCGCTACGCTGCATCGTCACTGAGACTTCAATGAACCTAACGCACGATAAGTCATCCTCGTGAACGCAAACCCCCACCCATTGCTTTGCCCCAACGTGTTATTTCATCTGGTATGGTCTTTGAACCCCCCCCGGACGGCGACGGCGCAGGTCATTGCGTACATCCTACGTGCCGCCCTCGCCTGGGCCTGTCTGGAGGGCCTCACACATGCGCTGCCGTACAACAGCATTGCCAAGCACCGTGTGTTGGAGCGGCTGACGGCCTCGGCTTTCACGCCGGCGCCACGGCCCCTGCATTACGCCATCACCGGCTACTGGGTCTTGATCTTCATGTGGCTCAAGGTACGGCACGACCGTACGGCTGTCCGTTACCTGTTACCGGTAGTGTCCTGCCAACCTCAATCAGGAAGGAAAGGATTTAGGCAATAAGGTGACTTTGCGCTTCCTTCATCCTTCACCCTTTAAGGGTCTCCTATTACGGAGTCTTTGAGCGCTACCGTACACCGCGGCATGTGGACTCCATGTGGACTGCATTCATGTGCCGGTAATCCTGCAGGTCAGTTAGCTGGTCCTCCCGTCCCTTTTCATTAATTGATCCTTTCAGCCCCTTGGGATGACCCTCTTCCCCGTGGTGCCGCAGTTCACGGTCATCTGGCGCTTCTTCCGGGCTGCGGCGCTGGCAGATGGGGTGGTGCCCCCGGAGAACATGACCCGCTGCGTGTGCAACAACTATGATATCGAGGTGAGCAAGGAGGGAAGAAGGGGGAGAGGTATTAACTAACCATGTAGCACGGCTGCAGCGTGGGTCGTATGCATCATGGTGGAGGGGGGGGGGCTGTGACGGGGTTACCGTATCCGCAGGAAGTTGCTGCCAGCCCTGTTGGCGCAAGCTCGCATGTGCATCTCAAGTTGTCAATCCTCGTGGAGGCTGCGCTTGTACCCGCACTGGCTCTGTCTTGATTCCTACCGTTAGTCCCTTGTTTTGGTTCCTCCTCCTCGTTCTCATCATCGCCATGTTCCTCCCTCCCCATCCAACAACCCTGCCATGCTCCTGCCGTACTCAGGGCTTTTGGCGCAGCTGGCACGCGTCGTACAACCGTTGGTTGGTTCGTTACATGTACGTGCCGTTGGGCGGCAGCCGTTGGCGGTTGGTCAACGTGTGGGTCATCTTCACCTTTGTGGCGTTGTGGCACGACCTGGAGTGGCGGCTGCTGGGCTGGGCTTGGCTCATGGCCGCAGCCATCGCGCCTGAAATGGTGGGAGAGGGGGTTGGGGACATGTCGGGGCGTCGCATATGCCCCGAGTAGCCGAGATGCGTTGGTGTGTCTCCTTACAGCTTGGGACCTTGTGTATATTGTGAAAGCCCGAGAGGCAGTGCCGAAAAATGGGACCAAATATAAATCCCCAATGTCACCCGCGTCCCCCTACCTCCCACGCACTCATCTTCCTCACCCCCTCCCTCCTCGCTCCGTGCACTTGCAGCTAGCGAAGGCGCTGGGTCGCAGCGCCCCCGCTCGTCGTCTGCATGGCACCCCGCTGTTCCGCCACGCCTGCGCCCTGGCGGCCGCTGCCAACATCCTGCTGCTCATGACGGCGAACCTGGTGGGGTTCGTGGTGGGGGTGGAGGGGGTGCGGCCGCTGCTGCGGCAGGTGTTGGGCGGGCAGCAGCCGCGCTTCCTGGCAGTGGTGTTGGGGGTGTTGTTTGCGGCGGCGCAGGTGATGCTTTGGATCCGGGAGGTGGAGTCTCGGAGGGCGGTTAGTGGGGGCGGGGGTGCGGTTGGTGGGGAGAAGGGGTTAGGTGGTGGTGGAGGGAGCGGTGGCGGGTACATGGGAGCTGATGGGAGAGGTGGGGGTGGAGAGAAGAAGTTGAAGGTGGATTGGCCATGAGGGGCAGGGATGATGCCGCGCTTCCAATGCGGCGGTGTGTGTTTTGCTGCTGCTGTTGCATCATAAAGGTGTGGAGAGGTTTGCTAGCCATTGCAAATGCTAACTGGCAATATACGGTATTCTTGCCTGTCTGTGTGGGGTATAAAGGAGCAACTCTAGGGCTTGCAACGCGTGGCGCGCATGCGGGCTCTCTTATACAGGGCCCTGCTGGTTCACCGGTTACCGGTTACTAGCTTACTACGGTGAGCCGTTGCAACCTGAAGGCAACTGGAGGAAACCAGCGTGCAAACATGTGGTATCCCGCCTGTACTCCTTCGCCTGCTGGCAACACCTTGCAACCTGCAATCCAACTCTTGCCAACTGACAAACGGACAAAACCTAATAACGGTTCGGATTTGCCACCAAACAACATTGCAACCAGTCAACCAAGGAAGCAATCTTCACCTACTCTGACCTGCTCAACAATTTTCTGCTTAACCTTCCTTAGGTAATAACTCCCAATGCCCAACAGCAACAGCATGGGTCTCTTTATAGACACTATGTACACCAAAACTCTATCCTTCCTATTACGTCCTAAGCTCCTTCTCCCCAGCCTGCTAACCTCGGCCCCCGCCCTCATCGAAAGCCTACGCAGTGCGAACGCTCAGCCCCGTCACAGGCGCATAGCTACAAAACAGCAGTGTAGGGGACCCATCAACCAGTGGACTCTCCCAATCACTCATCATCCTCCGCTACCTGCAACAGGCACCTCCGGCGGAAACATGGGCGCATCTGGCGCCGGTGGCGGCGGTGATGACGGCTCCGAGGGAAGCCCTGGCGGCGGCGTCGCCGGTGGCGGCGGCGCCGCCTCCACCCGCGTCGTCACTCGTACCTTCATGACGCCTGTCGTACGGCCTCCATCCGCCAGCAGCAGCACCACGTACGGCGTTCCCGGCTGCAGCAGCGGGCAGCGTTGACAGCGGCCCGCCTTGTAAGATCCATTCGCCAATGGTATCGTGGAGTTGCGGAACAGCCCGAAGCTTGCCGTACATTCATCCAGCGCTGCCGCTGCTGCTGCCGTAACCGCCGCCGCCGCTGACGTCTGGTTGGTGCCGTTGGGGGGTACCGCCCGCAGCGCTGCCAATGAGGGCGTGCTGCTCACCGTGAGGGTAAAGTTCGCTTCATCTATCCGAGGCACGTGTACGACACCACAGGCAACGGTGTACGGAAACAGTACCCCGCGGTCGCTGTCTTCGCCGCCGTCCGACACCTGCCGTACATCGTCTCCCTCTATGGCATCCAACGCAAGCAGCTTCACGTTCGAGGACGCCAGGAGCTGCCGCCGGCTTCTCCCTTCCTGCTGCGCCCCACCATAGAACCTCCGCGCCCCAACTGCACCCTCCCGCTCCGGAACTACACCGTCCGGTCCTGCAACCACCGCCCCTGCCGCCGCTCCCATGTCCGTGTCCCCGACTGTCGCTCCCGCCGGCGTGCTCCAGGGCAGGGCGGACCAGGACAGCCCCCGCCGGTGCGCTTGCCGCAGTCGTCGCTGCCATGACACGCGGTGCTGCGGCTGCAGCTGCCCCCGGCTCCAACGCGACCACCAACACCCCGACCACCAGCCATCAGCCCGGGAAGGGGCGGAGGCGGGGGCGGAGGTTGAGGATGACATGGGAGAGGCGGCAGCGGAGGCTGGCGGGGATGCTTGGGAGCTAGAGTTGCTGGAGAGGCGGGCTCTGAGACCGGCTAGCTCCGCAGACGCGATGCCGGTGCCGGTGTCCGGAAAGGGTGAGGAGTCGAGAGCTGCGGAGCGGGACAGTCGCCGCCTGGGCTCCCGAGGGAAAGAGGTACACACCGACACAGGGCAGGGTCCAGGTCAGTAGGGGCGCAGGGACAGGCAGAAAGGTAAGGATGGCTTGGCAAAGGACCAGACCAGCGCATGCAGCCCTGCACCCGTGCACCATGCATGCGTCCGCCGCATGCAACCCCCGCTCCCCTAGCTCCGGGCCCTCCCTACCCCACCATAACGCAGCCCCACGCCCAGTCTCACCTCCCTGCTGCCGCCGCCGCCGCTGTCCCCCCACTCGTATACGCCTCCGGCACCACCGCATAGTACAGCACCGCGTCCCTGTTGAGCCGCAGCAGCAGGCTGAGCTCCGAGCTGCCCACCGCCAGCGGCTGCGGCCCCACCAGGAAGCGCGTGCGCGTGAGGCGGCCCCACGGCACCAGCAGCCCCACCAGCAGCCCCACCGCTAGCAGGAACACCAGCAGCCACAACACGGCCAGCCAGGCGGTGCGGCGGGTGCTCCAGGAGTGAAGCCAGGCGGCGTAGAACCTGGGAGCGGTGGGGCGGCGTAGAGGCGTGAATGAGGAGGAGCGGGTGGTGGGGTGGGGTGGGCGGGAGGTGGTGAGGAGCGGGGCAGGTTGCGGTAATAAGGGAGAACAGGGTATGATGCGAGCCGGAATGCGAGCTGAATGCCGCGTATTCCGTGAGTCCGTCTTACGTCGCCGTTAAGAGTCCTGTGCCCGCGCCATTTCCAGGTACTGCAAACAGAAGCCTGTGAGCCGTACCTCCAGCAGTGGTGTGCGGGGTGTAGCATGTACGGCAGGAAGAGGATGTACAGCGGCCGCTGACGAGTGCTGTCGCCGCCGCCGCCTCCGCCCTTGCCGCCGCTTCTACCACGGACGCCCTCGCCACCGGCTGCTCCATGTCTACTTAATCCTCTTGCCTGCGCTGGCGCCTGCGAGCCCGATACCGATATGTTGGCGGTGGCAGCAGCGCCCGCACCCCGGGACCGTCTGGACCCATCCTCCGATGACGTCCCCGTCGCCGCTCCCCCAGTCGCAGCGTGATGCAGCCGGGAGCGGGCGCGAGCACCCCGGCCTCCCGACCCAGCGGTTCCCATGCCCCATGTCGACTCCTGAACCCCCTCAGAACCCGGCGACGACGCCCCTGCTGCCGCCCCTGCCGCTGCTGCTGTTGCTGCTGCGGCGGCGTCGACGAAGGGCGTTGTCCTGGGTGCTGGACTCCGCATGGGGTTGTGGTTGTTGTTACTGTTGGTGGCCGCTGCGGGTCCAGCCGGGGCCGCAGCAGCAGCCGCTGCTGCTCGCGTGGCGGCTGCTGTTGCTGCTGCGGCGGCCTGCTCACGTTCCCGCAGCAGCTGCTGTCGTACGGTGTTGTTCTCCGATGCCAACTGCCGCAGCTGCTGCTTCTGAGACTCCAGTGCGGTCAGGAGCTGTCTGATGGGGGCAGGGGAGCGGATGGAACGGGTGAATGGGAGCGGGGAAGGTATGAGGCTGAGCATTCATGCGCCGTTTGAGGGACACCGAGATCTCTATGCGTGCTGCCGAGGTCAGCAATGGCCTAAGCGCACGAGAGAGAGCATCGCTCCCCTGCTGTTGCCCTTGCCTCCACGGCTCTTACCTGATCTCCACTTGGTCTTGTTCATAGAGCTCCTTAAACACCTGCGAGGGGGGGTCAAGAGCCCGTAATGTGTGCCCATGGGAACAAGGGGGACGCTCTCGTGAGTATCAGCGAGAGGCGTGTTGCGTGGTGTTGGGATTGCACGGCATTGCATCCGTGGCCCCTGCACGATGCATGCTGACCATTGTAACGTGTCTAGCATGTGATGTAGCATGCGGTTGGAGGCGCTCATCGAACCGCATTTCCAAATGTCGCGTGTCGCGTATATGTCTTTGGCAAGTCTTTGCGCTTCGCATCAACTAACAACATCTTAACACCCGCCTGACAGCCCTCCTGAGAATCGGAAAGCGCCGTGTATCAACATGTACTGGGACGTACCTGATAAAGGTGATTCATCTGAGCGGAAAAGGCGCTGAACATGGGGTCTGCCTGGTTGGACCGTAGGCTTTCCATGAAGGGAGCCACGGCTTCCTGGAGGAATGGTTCGGGTATGGGCAGGGGGAAAGCGCTGTTCACCTTGTAACCAATGGTAATGGCATATGCGGCCGGGCCAGCACCTACCTCGTGTCGCCTGGCCCAGGCCTCAGCACCTGCTTCCGTCCCACTCCGCGATGACAAGCCTCCAGTGCGCCGAGGACTGCCCCCCGTACCTAAACACATAGACGATTTAGCCGTCAGTTCCATTTCGCCCACACCGTCTGCGGAAGTTACAATTCTGCTGCTGCAAACGTCAAACGGAACGATAGCAATGTTCGTACCTGCGGAAAGCGCTGCCCTAACATTGTCACCCGGGACCGGCTGGAAAAGGGGATTTTCGGCGTAAGGAGGCTGGTGTGGAGGATAAAGGCCGGGTGCAAAAGCCATCTGCTCGGTCATTGTTGAAAGCTACCCAATCGCTCGCGTGCCGTGAGGTAAGCTGCCAGCTATGAACCTGTTCCAATGAAAGCACTAGAGCCATTTCATCATTAAGCATTGACCGTCGTCCCGTTTGCTCCCTATCGTGTCTGCTTATATACTAGCTATGCATTGTTGAAAGCCGAGGAAATAGTCTTATAAAGGTGATGAATATAGTATTGTGCCCATCCTCAATAAGGAAGGTTCTGAACTGTGCAACCTGCAAGCTGGGTAGCTGGCAGTTTCATATCAGTCGTACACACCGTACAGTTATCCTGTTACAAGCGTACAGCCCACTGTCGAGCATACCTTCAGGAATCCGGGGTGACACGCAGCAAATACGCATGTACAAATGGATGCTCTACGATGCTACCCCGCTTAGCATGCTAAGCAGCGGCAGTCCCCAGGGACCGCTGCATTAAATACCGTACAACAGTCGAACCCACGCGCGCATGAAACACCCACTATGGGCCCCTAACTGCTTCAGCAGCCGAACAACCCTCGATTTCCACCACCACCACCACCCTGCTTGCAATAGCTCCGCAGTCCAGTATCCAGGTTGGAAAGAGGAGACGCCAGCTCACCAACCCCACCGGAAAAGCTAAACACCCGCCCAGACCTTGAAGTACCAAAGACGGTGCACAGTGCATGGAATCACAGAAACACCCCCTCGGTTCTCCTGCCAGCCTACCAAAATACCCGATACCATATCAACCAGCAATGTGCCAACAATAACCTACAGCAACCCAACAAAAAAATCTAGCCCACCTACTTCCGCAAATGCGCTTGACAACCTGTGCTCCGCATGAGCCCAAACCCAGCCTCCTGACGCCCGTGACCGCAACGGCGCCGGCCCCAACCATGACCGCCGCATTCTACCACACGCCTGCGCCTCCAAAGGCCTGCGAACCTGTGCATGACACCTGCGCATAACACCTGTGCATGACCGTTGTCAAGGTTTCCCAGCAGGCCTGCCTGGCCCCATACAGTTGACAGGCGTCCATCGGGGCAAAGAAACGAGGAACCACGCCACGCCATGTCATGCCGAAGCCAATCCCTGCTGCCGTACAATGCGATCCGTACCGTGCTAACAGATCCTGCAAACACTGTAACGCCACCCAAACCTCAGGCCTTGATGTGGCCGCTCAGGACAATGGACGGCACAGCACTCCGCGGACCTTCGATGACCAGTTACTAAACGTCGGGATTCGTGCGGTTGGCACTTCGCGAGCTAGAGGATACGCAAGATGGCGAAACCCAAGCTGTAGGAAGTCGTTGCCAAACCAGACGGAGTGAACCGTACATAATAGGCACGCGCTGTGCTGTACAGCAATTTGATGCGTCGCGCAAAAGGGAACACTTGGTTGTCCCGCAATCCAGTGTTGATGTTGCTACAATACCTAAGAATATCACCGGTACCTATCTAGCATGCGTGCATGCTCAACCGCGCAAACCCAATACGTTACCGGTGCCGTACAAGCAAAGAACACCAAACGGAACGCAATCCAAAAGGCGCCCGCTTTCCAACCATCCTGTTATGGCATCCTGCCAAGCAAAATGCCAACAATGTTGCACACACGCACACTCGTTACGACAGTGCAACAACAAGGCGATTTACCAAGTAGAACATGCCCATCGTATGAGCTATACGTCGGCATGGCGTCAATCAGGAACGCCCTGTAAGCAATGTGCGAGCCCTGGCACCAATAAAATGGCTCTGCTAACAGCTACGTGCCATGCAAGCTTAAGCAATAAAAGACCCACCGAAAACGTAGGCCGTATCACAAGAAGCAAGGCAGGAGCCCGGCCACAAAAATGCTCTGGCAGGCAAACTCCCACGGGCAGTGCACGGGTTCTTCAAGATTACCAAGCAACCCGCAATGCATCAACCTACAACGACACTACCAAGAAAGCAAGCCAAGTCTACGATGCTATTAACGGAAGCTGTAGCGGAAGCGAGCCAGGGGGGAAGGAAGACGCGGAAAGCGAATATAGCGGGGTATAATTGCGATCCCTAATGAACAGTCTCGGCGCGGGAAACAAACGGAAAGGCCACACCTGCATGTACCAATGTACGGAAGCCAACGCAGGCGCACGACAATGCCTCGTCCTCCTGCCTTGCCAGATTTTAAGCATTAAAACCCAACCGACGGCCACAATTACGAGGTCCTCAGCTCGGGGCAATCCTACATTTTGCTACTACAAGCTAGGCTGCTGCTCTAATACCAGTGATAAGTGGCGATCAATCCAATGAACAATCCACAGTGCGGTGTCTAATAACCAACAGCCCCCTGCTCCTACTAAACAGTGCTTGCTAAAGCCACCTTACGATCTAGGCGTGTGTCAATACTGTAGGTGCACAATCCGCTGCATGTCATCTGAAGCAACTCGCAGGAGGGTACATGCACCGGAAATGCGGCGACGAGGAAGGACGCCCCATGACATACCACGAGGACGGCCCGTGGCAGAAAAGGAGGCAGAGGAAATGATGAGGAGGTAGATAAGGGAATGCGGCATGAAAAGGGTCCCTTTCGATTCCACTGGACCCAATTGCACCTTGCGCATCAAGACATAAAAGCAACACACAAAACATACAAAATGTATTACTAGCAGGCTATGAGGCGAATGCTGACGCGCTGCATGGGGCCCGTTCCTAGGTTCCTAGTGTCCAGGACCGAATGAGCCAGCGGAAGCGACACACCAGATCTCCACATCGTGACCCATGGGTCATGGAATACCAGATCTCTGTTCATCGGCCGTCGATTCTATAATACCTCCTGGCTGCGACGCCCGGCTACCTCCTAGCACAATCAGCCCGGCATGCAACAGCCCAGGCAGACCGCTGAGGGAGTCCCCGCCGTACATGCGTTCTGGGAAACCAAACTGTGGCGGCGGTTGAGGAGGATGCAGCACCGATCCATCCATCGGACTTGTTGCCAAAACAGGCGCGGCCGTCCTGTTACTCCGGACACCCTGGACAGCCAATCCCGCCGCACATGAAGCCCCCCTCGCGCCCCTTGCCTTGGCGAGCCCTGCATCGCCACTGCTGCCAGTGCTGTTGTTGTCCGCGAGGCTGCGGACCGGGCTGTTGCTACGGCCGCCAGTGCCGCCAGTGCCGCGGCTGCCCACGCTGCCGCCTTGACTTCCTATTCCATGGCTGCTGCCGCCGGCACTGATGCCGCTGCTCCTCCTCGCCACGCTGCCCAGTGACACTGCCGTTTGAGCTTCCTCGTGTATGGGCGAGAGGTGACAAGGCTGCACCGGCAACGCGCCGCTTCCAACCGGCGTCAGAAAGGGAGTTGCCCTCACAGGCTGCTGGTGCTGTGGGTGTTGTTGCAGCTGTTGCTGGGAGGGGGAGTGCTGGAAGAAAGGACGCGGGCTGGCGCTAGCGCCGATGCCAGCACTGCCCGCACTGCTGGTATCCCCCGAGCCAGCTGGAGCCCCGCTCCTCGCTTCAGCTCTGCAGCCAGACATGCTCAAGCGCCCCCCTCCTTCGGTTGACGATGGGTGCGGCGAAACATTGCAATAGCCTCCACCTCCACCTCCACCTCCGCCGAAACGACGACCGATGGTGCAGCTGGGTCCTTGCCCCTCCTCCTCAAAACCGTTACTCTTAACCGGCGAGGTTGAGTAATACATGCCGTAGCCCCAACCACTGCCGTGACCCCCGCCACCAAAACCGCCGCCACCACCACCGCCATAGCCGAAGGCACTTGTGAGGAGCGCCGAGGAGGACAGCAGCAACGGAGCCGTGGTCTGGGGCGTCGCGCTGGTGTTAGCCGACGGACACCAGCTGAGTTCGGTGGCCAGGGTGTGAATGGACTGACTGGCGGCGGCGGAGGGGGAGGCGGAGGCGTACCCCAGCGCAGCCGCTGAGGAAGTCGCCGCCAGCACCGCGGATACCGAGCTACGTGATGTCCCGTACGGCAGGGTTGGTGCCAGCGACAAGACGATTTCATCATCAGCGCCATCACCGTCATCTTCGGCATCAGCAGTGTCATTATTATTGTTATTGTCGCCGTTGGTGGTGCTGTCGCCAGAGTTGGCAGCGGAGGCGGAGGTGGGGGCGGCGGCGGCGTGGTTGGTGCCGACGCAGGCGGCGATAACGTCACCAGCGCTGACGGAGGAGGCTTCAGTATTAGCAGGACAGTCGACGGGGTGCTGTAGGGGTTGAAGGAGCTCCTCGTCTGTCTCCGCGGATGCGGCAGCAGCCTGAGACCGGCAGGGCTGCAGCTGCGTCGGCAACGCTGGAAGGAGGGCGGATCCTTCCGCGCCAATATCAGCAGGACTGCTGGCCGCGTGTTTCATTCCTTCCAAGTCACTGCCGCGCGAGTAAGCCATGCCGGTAAGGCTAACCGCAGCTGCTGCCGTTTCGGTCCTTGCTGTGGTCCTTAATCCGCACGCCTCACCACGACGTGCTTTCGTCCCGCCAAGCCGGGCAGCAGCGTCCGCTAGGGAACGACCGCCGAGGCAACTCAAGGAGGATTCAACGTGTACACCGCTGCGCTCGGGTTCTGCACCAGGCGCGCCAGAAGGAGGGCCCAACGGAGCCTCTGCTGGGGCTGCTGGAGGAGCCTCCGAGGAGGTCGCAGCAGCCGCCCCCGCCGCCATCCCAGCATGCGCGTTGCTAGCCATGACCGCTGTAGAAGCCGCAGTGGCAACAGCGGCAGCCGCTGCTGTTGGTGCAGGACTACCACCAGTCGCAGCCACACATGCCGAGGCGTTGGAAGTGACGCTTGTCGGAACTGTTGTGGTTGTGGTCGCCGAGTCAACAACGCTGGGGGAGGCCCGGTCGACAAAGGCTGCATCAGCTGTTGCTGCTGCGGCTGCACTTGAGATGACTGTGCCCAACGGGCGTTGCGAAGTGGCGTCCGCCTTGCACGGTTCTGAGCTTCCCAGAGCCTCCGTCATTGCCTGCAGAGCCACGTGGGGGAGGCGGCGAACCGCAGGCAACAGTCAAAGCACGAATGGTGGGTTGCTCGACACGTGCAGGTGCAATCCTGGTTGGGTCTCATCACGCCTATTAGCCGTAACTCCGCATAGCGCATCCTACAGACTGCACTACACGACTACAGCCACTGACGATGAACATGAACGTGGCCCGGTTCGAACGCAGCCCAATTCGACACCGTACCGCACCGTACTGCATCAACCACAAACCTAAACCAGGGTCCCAGTGCTCCGCCAGACCTAGCGTTCTGTCAGACCCAGTGCTCCCCGCAATCCCCACTTGCCTGCAGCTCCGCCTCGATGGCTTCAAAGCTGGGGCGGCCATCCGAGTTGTGTGACAGACATCGGTCCATCAGGGATGCCAGGGGCGGGTGGGTGCCGGCGGGCGCGCTTAGGTGCAGTTGACCCTGCGGACAAGGGCAGGACAGGCGCAGCCATTACATCAAACATGAATGTGCAGCTGGGATTGCATAGCCGTACAACGTTAGGAGCTGCGTGCATGGGGGTCTCTAGATCCGCAACTGGGCTAGGTCCGTTGCAACCACAACAGCGCAGCACAAGCTTAAACTCATGTCGCCCTCTCTCCGCTATGTCGACACGTGCGTGCTGCTAAGGCGGATGACTGGCAGCAGGTCTCCCTTGAAGCCATCACATCCTCCACCCGCGTCATCTACCGGTACCTACCTGCAGGACGCCCATGATGATCTGCGAGCGGAGGGGCACGGCGGGTGTGGAGGGTTGGACGGCCGACCGGTTAGTAATCACGTTAGCTGCTGATTGAGTACCTAGCCTGACTATCTAGTCTGCTGCGTGTGCCGTAAGCGGCGAAGCACACAAGCCAATGCTCACCGCCCATACCCGACTTCAACAACGCCCAGCAAAGCAGCAGCACCAAACAAGCCCGCAGGATGCAGTTGAAGGGTTTAGGTTTAGGGGGCATGGCCTTCACTCTGCCACACAAACGGCGGGCACTGTCCAGCTTGCACCTCTACAGCACAAGCGCTCACACACCACCGGTATCTACCGGCCCGTCACGACGGCATTACCTCCACATCCGCAGCCTCTCACCTGGATGTTCCGGAGCCCCTGCCACGGCGCTGCTCCGCTAACTGCATGCCAGAGGGTCACCCCAAAGGAGTAGACGTCGGAGGCCGGGTAGCGGTTGCCGCCAACCACCTCGGGAGCCATGAACGCAACCTGGGAGCAGCAGCACCCAGGCATGCATGCGACATGGGGCACGGTAGATGGTGCATGCGACATGGGGCACGGTAGATGGTGCATGTCGTCAATTCCATGCTGTCCCTCCATGCCAAGTCCACACCCTGGCTCAAACGTGACAGTGACACAAAACAAGCATCGGCAACGTACCGTGCCCATAAGTTCGGGGCTCTCAAGAACGCCTCGTGGCGCGATGCGCGACAGCCCGAAATCTGCCACCTGCAGACGATTGCACCAGACGTGCCGGACAAGAGCATAGAAGGGAAAGGTGACGGTGTTAAGAAAACTGACCGCGAGTAGGAACGTACTGGGATGTGACGGTGTATGTGGCCAAGGCGCGCAGTGCAATACAACAGCTTATCGCTTACACACCAAGGGACTCACGGCAGCACATACGCACATAGCGAGTTTTACAACACCCAGGGCCAGTTCTGCGCCCCAGTTGGTTTACGTCATAACACACAACAAGTCCTTCTCACCATTGCTGTGAAGCCCCGTGGGTCGTGCACATCGCTCTTGAGCAGCACGTTGCTGGGCTTCAGGTCGCCGTGAATGATGGAGTTGCGGTGCAGGTGGGACATGCCGCGGGCCACGTCGCGAGCGGTCAGCAGCAGCGCTTGCAGGGAGGAGCGGGAGCCGCCTGCGAAGCAACCTGGCGAGCAAGGATGGCAGTAAGGGTGGTGGGATGGAGGCCGGCTGCTAGGCCCGTTCAGGGCCTTTTCCGCCAACTGTTTCGGTGAATGCGTGAATCCGCAGCTGCTCCCTAGAGGACAGCAATACACTCCGCCGGACCGTTGATGTTGTAGATTCGTTAGGTTCGTAAGAGTAGGTGGTAATCTACCAAAGGTAGTACCGACTGTCTCAGGCTGGCACTGCCCCAGCCACAACTCCGAAGAGTGTGCTCCAGAAGGTTAAGCTCCTTAGTAGAGTTTCCTTAACATGTCTATCGACATGCCGCTACAACAGTTGAGGTAACTGCTGCTGCACGCCTGCCTACCTGCACCTTGCCCTGCCTAAACCTCGTGATCCTCGCACTCGCACTAACCTTACGTGACGTGTCGTGTTTCCACACATGGCGTGTTAAAACACCTACACACGGGCCCCCTCACCCCCTCACCCCTCACCCCCCGCGCACCTGCACGGATGGCCCCCATCAGCGAGCCCCGGTCCGCCTCCTCCATCACGATCCGGGTGAGGTAGTCGCCCTGGGCGCACATGCAGCGGAGGGAAGAGGACAGAGCCAGAGAGCAGCTGAGGATGCTGAACCCCCCAGAACATTGCCGTATCACATCAACGTAGTCCCACCGCATGGCGATCGCGTATATGTGTCATGGTACCAAACCAACCATCCGGAAGGAGGACGAGGGGACACGGTACGTCTTGCACACAATTCGTCACGCATGATTCCCTGCGCAAGCAAGCAGGCAAGCAGGACGAAAGCCTCATCGGCCCCATCATGCTTCCCATCTGGGCCCCCAGCCTTCCCTCACCGGTCGCGCGGCGAGCAGGTGCAATATCTCCTGCAGCGTGCCCCACCCGCGCATCAGCTGCTCCTCTGACAGCTGGGGCAGCGGCGACACGGGAGGCGGGCCCACAGCAGCAGCAGCAGCAGCAGCTGAACCGCCACCACCGGCGCTTGCACCTCCGGCAGCAGAGCCGCCAGAACCAGCAGCGCTAGCGCCTCCAGCGGAACCAGCAGCAGCAGCAGCCGTCGCAACGGCTTCAGGTGATGCGGATGAGGAAGCAGCTGCTGCGGCTGCAGCTGTCACGTCGAGAGCAGCAGCAACACCGGCACCCGCAGCAGCACCAGAGCCAGCCGCTGCTGTGGCATCTGCTAAAGGGCTGTTGGCGAGGGTGGGCGTTTGCGACAGCTGCAGCCGGGTTTCAACACCCCCGCTGCTGCTGCATGATTGCAACTGGGAGAGCGAGGAAGGATCCATGGCTAGGGTGCTGCCGCTACGTCCCATGTCGACCGTTAGAAATCCGCGCACTGCAGCAATTGTAGCAGCCGCTCCATTTCCCATCGCAACTGCCCCGGTGGATGCGGAGGCTGCGATACCTGTAAAGGTTGTGGCGGCGGCGGTGGCGGCGGCACTCGGTGCGCCAACGGCAAGCGACGTCGTCGGCGTGGCGGCGGCGGAGGTAGCAGCCGCAGCCGACGTCGCCGGGAGGTGTGAGGTTAGATACGGTGCTGGGATGCGAGCGCTGCCGCCGCTACCCGCCGAGGGGGGAGATGTGCTTTTCGTGGCACTACCGGTGCCGCCGCTGACTAAGCCGGTCGCCGATGTACGGCCAGTACGGGGCGTCGAGCTGGCGGCGGCTTCGACGAACGCACGCGCTGCTAGCTTACGATCCGCCTGAGCGCTAGCGACTGCCGTACCGGCGGCGCCGCCGCCGCTGCTAATGATCTCACCGCCGGCCCTGTTGCTACCGCTAACCGCAGGGCTGTCACTGGAGCGTTTCAAAAACGGCGGCGTCGAGGGCATGCGTCTATCGCGACTGACGGCGCCGCTGCTAAGGCCTCCGTTGCCTCCGTCGCCACCGCCGCATGCAAAGATGCTGGCGGCGGAGCCAACACTAACGACGGCGCTGCCTAGGTGTTGATGTACGGCAGCAATGACGGCGGCGGCGGCGTTATGAGCGGCGATGCCGTCGGTAAGGCCCAGGATGTCGTCAGCCGTCCTGGTGAGGCTGCCGCTGGTTGATCCCAAATCACGGATGGTTCCGCTGATGCCTCCACTTATGCTTGCGTTCATGCTCGCCCGCTGGCACATGGCCGCGGTGGCATGCAGGGTGGCGGCGGCAGGAGCTGCGGATGCGGCGGCGGCAGCAGCAGGCGGTGCCGTACCCGCCGCCGCATGAGCTCCCTCACCACCGCCGTCACCACTGCCGCCGCCGCCAGCGCCACTACTGATGCCACCATCAGCGGCCCCCACGCCCAAGCCTAGCGTTGATGGAGCTCGCCCTCCTGAGAAACGCTGCCGCCGACCAAGCCACTCCATTCGTGTAGTCGGCGGAAGCGGGGCCACCGCCGACCCACCAGCCGCCTGCTGCCGCCGCGGGCCTTTCCTCCGCTCCAGATCCCGCCGCCGCCGCCGCCGCTGGCGACGCTCGACCGCCGCCGCCAAGGCTGACGTCAGATCTCCGGTGATGTCTTCCTCAACCACTCGGGTTAGATGCCAACTGAATGTACGTACGACATTGGGGTGTACGAGCACTCGGCTGAGCAGGCCCTCCGTCGCTGTCGCCGCCATGTTATCGACGAAAGCAGTCGTTGCCACGTACTTGATGCACACTCGGATGCCGCCGGCCGACCCACGGTACACCAGAGTGCGGTTCGCGCCTTGGCAGACGAGCTTCAAGTCCGTTGCCTGATTAAGAAAATCGGAAACAACAACAAGGTCAACAACTATAACAATGCGGCTCCATGAGGCATGGCTTTCCAAAACGAAGAGCAGCAGCGGCCATAAACCATAAACAGTAGTAACCACAAGACACTGCCTCCCCCTTCCTCGCCCTTCCATCCGCTCGCCTTTCCCTCCCTCTCCCTCTCCTCCCCTGCCTCCTTCCCTTCCCTTGCTGACCTGGGCAATGGCCCTCAGCATGTCCATCCTGCTTGCACACCGCATCAGCTCCTCCACCGCGTCGCCTCGCAGGCTGCCGGACGCGGGCTCAGCCACCCGCGTCAGACGCTGGGTGAAGGAACGGAAACCTGAACAGCACACCGCGGGGGCACATGTGGAGCTTGCGAATCAACAGAGTGTTAACGTATGCATTTTTGTGACTTCCGTTTAACGAAACAGCAACCCATGAGATGCAAGGCCAAGACAGTTATGTCGGCTCGCCGTGACCAGACGAAGGGCCGCGGAGCTGGGTTGACGGAAGCGAAGAAGCAGGACCTGCAGCGCTTACTTCCCCTGTCGTCCACCCCGCTCGTACCTTCCGACAGCAACCCCGCCAGCTGTGCGAAGCCCCAGCGCGAGGGTCGCGAGGTGGAGGTGCGGCCGCTTTCGAGGGAGTTGAAGGAGGACATCCGGCTGCTTGTTGCCTGTGGGAGCAGTGCAGTGCATTGCGCATGACAAGAGGGAGCACCGGCCGCGTGGATAGGGGACGGTGCATGCGGTACCGGACAGTGAGGCTGATGTAGCAAGGTGGGTAGGACAGACGCACCGGTCGGGGGAGCAAAGCAAACTGCTCTTTATCAAGCCAGTTGCCGAGGGCCGTGCTGCAGGTTGACATCGAGGGAAGGAATGCAAAGCGCCAGGGCGGGCAAGGCAAGCGGATGGCAGGGCAAGAACGCTAACAGCATGCAGCCCCTGCGTACCCTCCCGCTCACCATGAGGGGAGAGTGCAGGCCCCCTGGTGTGTTCCTAGGAGCGGAGCTGCAGGCTGTACTGATGCCGTATCCCGTACTGGTACGAGGTATCATTATGGACTGCGCATGACCATGTCCATGACCATGCATGCCGCCGGCGCCGCCAGTCGCATTGCTGCTACCGCCGGCGCCGCCGCCGCAATCGACGCCACCCGACGGCGGACCGTACATTGACAGGGTTGCTATGTCACCCGTAGCAGCTACAGCCGTGGTGAAGGGAGACTGACTTGCCCTTGCGGACAACGGAATGCAGGAGGTGCCAGCAGGTAGCGGCGCCTTAGATGCCAACGGCAAACCAAATGGGTTGCTGACAGGATTGGATCCAACCAACCCCAGAGCAGCTGCTGGTGTCCCAGACGGCTCATGAGATGCAGATGCATGCGCTCTGGCGCCGTCAGCTGACGTGAGCAGGGCCGTACAGTCAGCCCTGCTTGACGTCAGCGGTAGCAGATGTGATGCCACCGCGTTTGGCTGAGATGCAACAATGGGCGTCGATGGCGTCACAGTTGGGGCTGAGGACGTCCTCTGGAGAACAGCTCTCACGGCGGATAGCCCGTCATACTGGCTTTGGGCCTTGTGGGTCATCTGACCCATGGGCCCACGCGGTCCCTGGGAATGATTGAATGATGACGACGGCTGCTGCTGCCGAGCACACCCAACCCAACGTCCCAGGCAGCCGTGACACGGGCCATCGGGCTCTGAGTCGCCATGGCCGTCAGCGTGTTTAGCCTCACCGACTTGCTTCTCAGGCTGAGAGTCTTGACTGCCGCACTCCTGATGCATATCTCGCTTGTGGAGTGCTTGTAAGCACTTCTCGACGACTGCTTACTTCGAATCCGGCGAGCCACATGCGGGCTTTCGTGGTAATGGAGGCTGTACCGGCGATGCACTGGCACGAGTGTCCACTGCCGAAGAAGGATCAGGGCTGGGGTGTTCTTTAACTAGAAGATGTCTGTGCCCCTGGTTGCTCTGTTGTACCCAAAACTGCAACGGAAAGGCAGACGAGAGCAACGTCAGCGGATGGGTAGGGTTGATGACGGGAAGGCGGTGGGGAAAAACACGGAGCCTACTCGGCCAGGAAGTAAACAGCAGAAAGTTGAAAACAAATTGAAGCGGGTGACATTTACGTGCGCCGGAAAGGTAAGGTCCTTGATGGCCTACGATTAAGCGGGTGGGTGTTGCGGCTTGCGCGTTACTACTGTAGCCAAACGATCTTTAATGTCGCAATGAAAACGTTAATCAAACTTTAGGCCAAAGCTTCGGCTCTACCCTGCACTGTCGCTGTCACAGTACTGCGTCTGGCTTCATTCGTTACGCGTATTTCAGGTGTGTGTGAAATAAACATACACGAAACCTAAAACGTATATACGGTGGTGCCGGAAAACGTGTAGGTAGGATGTGAAAGGAAAATCTAGCCGACGCACAGGGGCAAAACACGTGCGCGGAAAGACCTATGACGAAAGGTACACTGACTATGTGCATTTCCATTACGAGGCTGAAGCCTAGAGCCCAAATATGACAGTGACTCCAACCTACCACAGTTGCATAGCCCTGAGGATAGCACCATAAAAGCTCCAATGCACGCGCATACTCTGCCTTATATTCCAAAATAGGTTTATAGGTGTCAAGGCTGTGGGGAAGACCGCCGACCGAAGTAGTCAAAAGTCATGTACCGGTACAGCAAATAACTGAATTCTTAACAGAAAGAAAGGGCAGGTGAGTAACTCGGCGTGTATCATGGAAACCATTAGCAATTCGGCTTGGCAGCAATCGCCTAATGTACGACAGTGAACCCGGGTAGACGGGGTAGTTAATGACATGCTTCATAGTCGGGCGGGACTGTCGTTTTGCACAGGCTTCCGATGCCTTACCTCTAAAGCTCTAATTCTTTTGTGCCCGAGCGTTTCCTTAAACCTTCAAGGATCCCTGAACGTGCTTTAGCGACCGATCACAATGACCAATCCCAGGCAACGTAGCACTTTGCTGCTTAGGTCTGAGGTATTAGACACTCATAGGCATGCTATGCAGAGCACAAAGCTCCTAATTTCCCGAATGTCGGTCATGACGGTGTTAGGGGATCTGGTACGGCGAGCGCCCTCGCCTTGGGGCAACTTCTTAGACCCCGCAGGGTGCACCATATGTGATATATTACTCCGTATTTAACCAGCTTTGCTACTTGGCTCGTGCACTTTTAGTTTTGCTCGTGTGGGTAAAAGAGTGACCAGCAATGACCTTGACACCGTCTACCGGCTAAATGCTCGGTTCATGACGCGGTATTGTTTAGCCCTAATGTGATACTATAATCGTAGGGATTGTCGGCACTGAAACGGCCCTCAAATTCAGTTATGTTTCTGGTTAGAAAACGTGCAACCGTAAAACCGCAGAATAGCAATGGCAGGAGACCAGAACTCCGTTAAGTTGTCTCATGCCCGTTTACCGAAGGCTGGCGCGGCTTCTTTCCAACGGCCGACGTATAGTCCTCAAGCCTTGTTAGCCTACCGGTATTGGGGACGGGGAAGGCCGGTTGCACTTCGAGTTGTTGGCTGGACAGTCCTTTCTGGCGTTGTTTCAGCGTCCCATCGTGGCAATGCTGTCCTTTGCAGTTTGATGTTGTGAACGCATGGGCTGAGGGGGTGTGTAATTGCCGGAAGAGAAAGTCCCTACAGAGACGCCACGGTAACCAAGGAGGAGGTTGGCGTATGTAGTTATGTAAATCAACTACTTTGATGCTGGTAGTACGGCTGTGTATGGCTGGCGTGTGAAACTGTGCTGCCGTGAGCTGTAACTTGTTGCTGCTGTTATGGGGCGCTGTGAATCCCTTAGGGGATGCCTGGTTTGTATTAGGCGTCTAGTGGGAATAGTGTTGGTGGAATGTGGGATTGTGGTAACGTGCCACTTGGTCCACTAGGAATGTACGAGTGATTTGAAAAGGTTAGGAAAGGCGAAGGGTCTGCATGCCCAAGGAGCAGTGTGGGACGAAGCTTGGTACTGCTGAACTTTGTGTCCCGGTATAAAGCGTATTTGTCACTGCGGTCAGGGGGGTCAAAGACCATACCGAACCATAGGAAGCCACAGGGGGGGGTGTGGCAACCCGCTGCGTTGAGGCGCGTTTTGCCGAGGGGAGTGTTTGATCGCGGCAAGTGGAAACCAATATCTAGGTTTAAACTTGCTATGTTGTTGTTTAAATGTGGCTTTGCAGCGCCCGTTAAGGCGCATGTCGCAGATGCAAGTTCGCGCGGTTGAACCATGGGTCGTTGTGCGACTTGTTTGGTTAGTGTGGCCGAGAGAGAATAAATACGTTTATGGATAAACAATACAATTCTACGAGTCGGTTCCTTCGTATGAGTAATATGAAGGTTGTTGGTACGTTTGCCCGCTTGACGGTTGGCGGCAGTTTAGTCATGTCTGACAGTCGGGCAGGGAGGATTAGTAATGATTACCTAAGGGTTGTGCAGGGCTCGACGAGTTTGCTTCATAGGCCCTGGGCTTGCGCTGATTGTCTTCAATCATTTGGGACGGATATGGCTTTCGTTTGGCGTTGGTTGAGTCAGAAGCGGAGCGGCTCAGACGGAATTAGGCCAGGGATGACGTGAGCCTGGCGTGTGCCGCTGGATAGATGTCGTCATGCTTGTGACGGCAGGGTTGTACGGCGGTTTGGGCCGGCCTTGCTATATAAGGCGGTTGTTTGCAGCTAGAAAATAGGTATGTGTAGGCTGGTTCTGCGTTCAGACCAGACCCAAAGTCCCGTTGCAAGAGCACCAACCGTCGTGTGTGTCTTGTCAAGTGGTTGCACAGACTCCGGCTTCAGGGGCCGATAATCCCTGTCTTCTGCGGAGCCTGTAACGGTCTAAGTGCGATTGTGCAGCTCCCGTTTCTCACAGCATCAGGGTCGCTCCCCGGGACCCTATCCCAGCAGCGGCAGCTTCAGCGGTGCCACAGCAGCTAAGTAACGGCTACATAACGGCTACGTTTCTATCTTTCTCTAACCGGCAAGCGTCAGCAACAGCCAGGCGCCTGCAGCGCCCTGGTCTTAGCAGCGTTATCCGTATCCTGTTTCACCCGATAGCAGCAAAGAACGCTTCCGCACGCGTATCTCTTTAATCAGCAGCAAACTATCCCTCTTCAGCAGTAAAGACGCTTCCGCACGCGTTATCTCTTAAACTAGCAGCGAACTATCCAAAGAACGCTTCCGCACGCGTATCTCAATAGTTAGCACTAAGCCATCCCTTTTCAGCAGTACGGCAGCAGAAGACCACAGGGCTAGCGGTCAAGGGCGCAGTACGTTCGTCCCCATACGAGTGCTGTGCCGCACCTCCTCCTGCTATCACACGTTCCTGGGCATCAGCTAGTTGGCGTGGGCTCGCACTCAGTCGCGAAAAATTTCGGGGTGGTGCCGCCCGCGCCGCTGGCGCCGGGTGGTATCGAGACTTCAGGTTCTGATGGCAGTGGGTGCTACTGTTCCTTAGCTGTGGGCTTCGGCAGCGGCGGCTTCGCCTAAGGGCGCCGCCGACACCTTCTAGGCATCGTCGGAGGAGCTATCAGCGGTTGTTAGCAGTTATATTAGGCCTATGGACGCCACGCCGTCGGCGGTGGCAGGGGCGACAGGAGCAGGAGGTGTCGTAGATCCCTCCTGCTTCAGCGCCGTTCCCATTTACCGTCCAGGAGACAACGCGCGCCAGTGGATGTTGCAGTTGGAGCAGGTGGCTGAGCTGTTCTCTTGGCCCGACGGCACCACGCTTAAGCTGGCAGGTTGCCGGTTGGGTAACGGAGCTGCAACTTGGCACGCGGGGGTCAAGCAGGCTATCACCACTTGGGCAGCGTTCAAGACCGCCTTTCTGGAGCGCTTTGATGCGGATAAGGAGGAGCTGTACGGCCGCCTTACCCGCTGCCGGCAGGAGAGGGGCGAGACTGTACGCTCTTACTCTGACCGGTACCGTGACTTGGCGGCGCAGCTGCAGGTGGACATCAGCAACGATCCTATCCACCTCTACAACTTCATTCAAGGACTATCGCCCAAGATTCGCAGCAAGGTGTATCTGATGAAGCCAGCGACACTGGAGGAGGCAGTCAAGGACGCAATCTATGTCAGCGGCGGCATAGAGCGTAATGTGGTAGTGGAGGAGGAGAGCACAGCTGCAGGCTTCGTACCGCCGCCGCGGGCAGAGCCGCCCCCCCAAGGGGAGCGGCAGCAGGAGCGCTGGCGGCGCTGGCCCGACAGACCGGACCGCCAGGACCGGCCTGCCGGCGGGATGCTTCCTGGTGGTCAGCGGCGCCCTAATGACCCTGCAGCAGGTGGCGGCGGCAAGCCGTTTCATGACGGCGGCAAACGGGATGGTCCCAAGCCCATCGGCGGCGCCGACAAGGCCCTTTTGCAGTCACAGGTGGACGATCTAACTCGGGAGCTATCGCAGCTTAGGTTGTACATGAGCAACATGCAGGCTGTCTACTACTGCACGCCTGTCGGTCGGCCGGCAGCAGGCACCGGGGAGAAGCAAGGCGCGTGGGCAGGCGAAGCTTATGCGCATGACCCGGAGGCTTACGTCAAGCGGGTGGCTGACTTCGACCCAATGCCCCTGCTGCTTAAGCGACCGGTATCGGTGGAGCCGTCGGCACCCAAGGTCGACGCCGCTGTGAGACCCCGGGAAGGGCCGGCAGCAGCGCCAGCCGCTCGTACGGACAACCCGCAGCCCCGTCCAACCCCTGCTGCAGCTGGAGAGCGGGCCGCCGGTGCAGGCGGCGGCAGGCCAGGCGCTCGAGCGGCAGCCCATGGGGCTGCCGCTTTCCACTTCTGCCGACGGCCCGGTGAGCCCTACGGCCGTACTGACCCCGTTCCATCGGATCCCGTGGAGGAGGAGCGACGCATGGCGGACGGGATTGTGAGCAAGGTCAACAGGTTCTCGGTGCCGCTCAGCACCACCATTCACTGCACCCCGGTCAGCTACCAGCCGGCTCTTGTGGAGGAGGACCGGCGAGCGCAGAGAGCTCCAGCTTACGCATCGGACTCAGGAGCCGCCAGCAGGCGTGTGGCCGTTCCCGACCCCGGCCACTATCCTCGGCGGGAGGCCCCTGTTGCCACGGGTGCAGCGGCCACGCAGCAGGGTGCCGACCGTACCGGGGGCGAGCCAGTTTTACCGCAGCCGGCCAGGACCAACAGGGCGCGCGGTGCTGGTGCGGTTGTACGGTCGCCGGTGGATTGGACTGCAGCCTTCCGTCCTAGGCAGCGGCCCGTCAAGCGCTCAGACAGCGCGGACCCTGCCTCATCGCTCGCTAAGCTTGAGGACAAGGTCAAGGTGGCCCCCAGCATTACCCTGAGCGCTGCCCCCACTGGCACCTGCGCCAGGGAGGGGCAACGGGCGGCAGCGGTGGTCCCTCCAGCCTTCACGGCTTCCAGCGGCAACGCATTACGTCAGCAGCAGCCCGAGGTCCACTTCGGGGAGAAATCGAGCTTGGAGGTTAGCGGAGAGAGGGTGGAGATGGTCCTTCTGGCGGAGTCAGCGGGACCCCAGGCAAGCAATGGGCTACGGCCTCTCTCACCCACATCCGCTAGCGGGGAAGCTAGTGGCAGCTCCGGCAACGGCGACGACGACGGCAGCGAGTTCGGTTCCAGTGTGGGACTGCCGGTAGGAGGCGAGGACACAGGCGAGACTCAAAAGGTCCCACCTCCCTGTTCGGGCTCTTCTACCCCTGGAGAGGCGGGCAGCACCAAGCCAGGTCGCGGATGCAGCA